GACAAAAAAAAAAACCAAACATATTTCCTGGATCTGTTTTTGCCGAGACACGGCGCAGCTAACCGTTCAGTTGTTCTCCACAAAAAAAAGACGAGACAATCCTCAGGAAATGAGACATGAACCTGGAGACCCCACGTAGGACCGTTGCTCCTTCCGGTTCAAAGCGAGTATATTTTTGGAATGAACTCACTACATCAGCGTCTTTGAGGGGAACTCACCATGGAGACCAAAAAGCAAAGCAAACTCCTGCTGGAATCAAAGGTTCCCAAAGCCAGGTCTATTGATAGAGCTGCACCAGTGGAAAAGGGACATATCTGGCATAAACCGTTCTGTTTTCCTTTCTTCAACCTTTCAAATCTCTGCCTCCTCCTAAGTTTCTTGGTGTTTGAGAGCTGGCTGTGCTCCCCTCTAGTGCGTCACCAGATTTGTATTGCATGGTAGTTTCCGAATCTATTCTTGGAAATATAAACTGATTTTTTTTTCTTTCTTTTTTTTCTCTGGAGGAGCAGAGAACCGCGGTTTGTCTAAGGGATCCCGGAGAGAATGAGCTGACTTTGAGTTAAGAACTGAAACAGGCAGATACATGGATAACCCTTGAGCTCACAGTCGAAAAACGTGAAAAGAAGCAGAGATCTGTGTCTGTGAGTGACGGAACCAAGATACAGTACGTTCATTTTCCAGACAAGAGTCATTATTTTTACTATGCCGTCTGTCTCACTACTGTCCAGGGCCCACAGTTACATACTAGATATGTAATATCTGAGCTAGCATTTGCTATAAAGACAAGCATAGCTTGACCCTTTTTCCATTTGCGAAGTCTTCGGAATGACTGATGACTTATTTCAACCTGCTTATTTCAACGTCGCCAATATTTCCCATCCATCCATTTCCATCCGCTTATCCGTTACCAGGTCGTGAGAGCAGCAGTCTCTATGACCGCAACCCAAATCACATTGCACCGTACCAACCCCCCCCCCCAAACCTTCCTGCAGGTGGTGAGTCCACTGGAAGGTACCAACCGGCCTAACCGGGATTCAATCTTCCACACCAATGACAGAGACATTGCCTCTGGACCAAGGCACCATTCCAGCTTACAAATGATTGCCATATACTAGAGAGTGTCCCTCCTCATTAAATACACCTGTGCTATCTATTCTGTCTTGGTCTCTTCAGCTACATTTTTTTTTTTTTTCCGCACAGCTTCCCACTCATAGCTACATTTTTTTTTCCGCACAGCTTCCCACTCAATGACGGCAAACAAGCCGGCAGATGTTGTTTAAAACGTGTCATATCAGTCCTAATGAAATGCTGTGAAACAGTAGAGCTCGGCCAGCAGGGATGGATGCAGTCATTTATTTATGCTCCTGAATTTTCTCTCCCAGGCAGCCGGGAAAGGTGGCACAAATGGAGCAGTTTAATTAAAAACTGCTGAGACACTGCCACTGACTTGGCAGTCGCCGACATCTCTTCCCGAGCCTATGGAGTGTAGGAAGCGGCACCAGCAGCAGCACACTATGGTGCGCTGAATTCACTCGACCAAAACCGACAACATGAACCCAATTACGGACATAACAGGGAGCCGGAACTTTTTGCCTCTCAGTGTCCTCTGCTTAATCTTTTCATTTTTGGTGAAGTGGGTAAATTGAAGTTGAAGTGCATTTGAAGTACATACTTTTTCGTTTTCGATCGCTAAAAAAAAAACATTTTTAAAACTAACATGTAAGACGGTTTATACACCCTTTTTCTAAGAATCAAATGCTAGGATGAAATCTGACCTTCGCATTTACTGGCAGAACTGTTTCTCTCTGGTAATATGATTTCGCTAAGCGCTTCCTAATGTTTGAACAGCATTAATGCTCGACTTTGTTTTTATGTCTTGTTTTATGTTAGTCTGTGGTTTAAAAGATCGACAAATTAATCACACACTGCCAGTTATTAGCGCCGATTTTTGTTAGCTCACATTATGGTTTGCGTTGACTTCTGTGTTGTAGCTATTGGATTAGTTATCATTTTTATTTCATTGATCAGTTCTCAAATGCTGGTCAAACATTAGTGGATATAAGGTCTGATTAAAGGATATTTTTGTTTCTTTAGAGTGACCTGAGAAGATTGAAATAAACTCTGCTAGTTCAATTTCCAATGTTAGATCAGTCTCTACGCCGATGACATACTGCTGTTTCACCAAAAAAAAAAAAAAAACCCTAAAGGAACTTCACGCAATGGCAAATGATGTCATGCGCTTGGGGTGAGATGTTTGTTGTAGCAACCCAGACATGGCACAGTAGCATAACATTCCCATCCACTCGTACTACACTCAGGCCAGGCTGAGTTCACTGCCTGGTCAAAGAGGGAAACGAGAACAGAAGATAAACGCTGTCACGGGCCTTCTTCTCTGTTGAGGAAAGATCGTAAATTTAGATATAAATATAAATAAATAAAAGTCCTCTCTGTTAAGCATATGTCAAAAAAAAAAAAGATGTATCTTGTAAAAATGGGCATTCAAGAGCTTCTTACAAAGGTTTATTTTAGTCTCTCAATCGCAACGGTCGCAAAAGTCCAATTGAGCGCCGTGAGTTATCACGGACTTTCAAGAGACTTGTATCAACACGCTCAGATACAACGCTGTGTCTACTTGAAGACCATGCTCCGGATTAGAAGAAGAAGAAGAAGAAGAAGAAGAAGAAGAAGAAGAGAACAATGTGATTTAGTCATCATTTGTTGAAGATGTAACCGGTTAAAAGAGGTTATTTAACTGACATGAAGGCCGAAATCCAGATCTTTTTGATCACAAAAAAGGTTCAAACTGTAAAAGTCGTTGAGGGTTTGGAACTCCTAATAAAAACGGACGGCCCCGAAGCATAAACAACATTTTTAAAGTCAGGTCGTGTCCTTGAAGGTGTCCCTGCCTAACACCCCGCAGTCATAAAAAATCTCAATGAACGAGAGACACGAAGGGAGTCGGTTTGATGCCGGAGTTCTTAGTCTATGACTCTTTTTTTTTGCAAGCGTTTTTTTTTTCTCCGAAGAAAATACGGCCATCAATCTGCTGGTCTCTTCATTAGAATACAGCACCAGCCTGCAGCGGCTGCACACGCAGCAGAGCAGAGTAGAGCAGAGCAGGGCTGAGAGGGAGAGGAATGATGAAACCAGGGCTAAAAATAGCCTCCTCCCAGGATCCCCCCCTCATACAGCATTGTAAACACTTCAGAGAGCCAGCGACAGGCAGCAGCAGCAGCAAACCAGGCCCCCGTGTGTGTGTGTGTGTGTGTGTATACATCAGTGAGACATTAGTGTGTGTTAGATGCATTGCAGTCTCCCCTCCTCTTCATCCACCTCCACGTCATAAACCAGTGTTTCCATCGCGGAGCTGCTATACAATTAAAGCCATACGCAGCTGGTTGGTTTCACCTTCACGGGTAAAAACATAAATTAACACCAAAAACAAGCAAATTCACGTCAAGTTGGAGGGAAACTAACGTGTGACACATAATGCACACGTGACAACTATTAGTGTGAAGGGACAGGAACACCGCAGACGGGACGAGCTTTTTGTCTTACAACAGACAACGAGTGCTAAAGTGCGATGTGCTGTGTTCAGCCTCAGGTACAATCTGAGCTACTGTCTTGAAATTAGACAGATTTTTATTAAAAAAAAAAAAAGTAGAAGAAGAAAAATTTAAGGAGCACAAGTTATAGCCATATCTATCTTAAATATAATAACCTAGTAAGCAGATATGTCAAATTCTTATTAAAATGATTAAAGTTAGCCAAGAGTTTAGGCTAGATAGGCTAGCTTAGCAAAATAATAGGTAACTTCTTCGACCCGGAATTCAGTAATCAAAGACAAATATTAACCTTTTAACAAAAGTTAGCCCAAGCACGAGTTAGCTATAAGCAATGAGAGCATGCTATCAAACCGCTTAGCTATAGCTAAAGTTAGCAAGACATATCTTATATAAAATAGCCAATAACTAGAAAATGTATCCCAAATATAACAACATAGTAAGCAGATAAACAGGAGTGCTAAAGATCGTTAACCTTTAAGACGTTTCCTTAAAGGTTATGCCCAAGATGTAGGAAGTCCTGCGTTTGATTCCCAGATGAACCACATACTTGGTGCCTCTAAGGTGCAGTCTGTCAAATTCGTATTAAAATTATTAAAGTAAGCCAAGAGCTTAGGCTAGATAGGCTAGCTTAGCAAACTAATAGCTAACTTCTTCGACCCGGAATTCAGTAATCAAAAACAAATATTAAGCTTGTAACAAAAGTTAACCCAGAAGAAGGAAATTCTGTTAACCTTTGAGGCGTTTCCTTAAAGGTTATGCCCAAGATGTAGGAAGTCCTGCGTTTGATTCCCAGATGAACCACATACATGGCGCCTCTAAGGCGCAGTCTGTCAAATTCGTATTAAAATTATTAAAGTAAGCCAAGAGCTTAGGCTAGATAGGCTAGCTTAGCAAACTAATAGCTAACTTCTTCGACCCGGAATTCAGTAATCAAAAACAAATATTAAGCTTGTAACAAAAGTTAACCCAGAAGAAGGAAATGATTTAAATTGTTTTATATATATACGTATATATATATAACAAAAAAACAAGAATTACTAAACAGGGTCGTGTGTATCCTTCGGCTCTTTCTGAAGATTCTCTGCTATGGTATGGAAAAACAGAAGAGTCGAGTTTGTATTTTCTTCGCATCAACATTGAAAAAGCGATCATGCAGGGGAAAAAGAAAAGTGTTGCAGATGGGTTTCCATGGCAATGCTGTTTCCTTGTCCTTCTCCACAACCTGACGTCACAATTCAGTGAATCTGAGTGTGTGCGTGCGTGCGCGCCCTGCACGTGTGTACGTGAGGGGGTTGCTCCATCAGGTATTGACTGAGAGAATAATCTGCTTTTATTTTACACATTTGTTTCACACCAATCCCTTAACTTACTACATGACTTCACATGAAAATGTCTTTTTCAATGTTTCAATACACATTAAATACCCAGACGTACCTGCATCATGAGCCATGTCAATCAGCTGCTGCACGTGATGTGGGTTCGTAAACCGACTGTGAATTCTATGTGCAATTCTGCCACCTGGTGGTTGAACGAGGAAACACAGGAAAAAGAAAATTAGTACTGAAGAAAGTAACTGAAAATACAGCATAATCACATGACTGTGTCATTCAATAAATATTAGCAACTAAACTTAAATGTCGTATAAATGGCACACCGTCAACCAGTGCTGAGAAAAAAAGAGAGCCACAAAACACCAATTGCATCGCAACGCACTTTTCTAAGGTCCAAATTTAGACACTAATAGGCCTCAAGGTGTGCTGCCTGTTGGATACCAGGCAGGTGAGAACAAAGGTGTGTTTGCATGCGTGTGCGTGTAAATTGGCTAACTGGAGGTGTCACAGGCAGAAAGCCACATCACAGAGACACGACCTCGCAGCGGGACGACCGCTCAGAGGACACGAAGGTGACGAGAGACTGAGAGCAAATTTATCTGCATTATATATCTGAATTTAGTTTGACTTCAATACAGGTAAAGCGGGCGCAGCAAAATAAAGACCAATAATGATAATGAATGATGAACGAGCATTGTCGCAATTCACCTTAGCCATGATGTGAACATAATTTAAGTACATATCTGAATTTAGTTTGACTTCAATACGTTTTCAATACCCTTTTTCACCATATGAATCCAACATAACGTACAAACCAGGGGTTCCCAATTGGTAGCTGGGGATCTAACAGATCGCAAAAAACATAATTAAAATATTGATGATTCAGTATTGTGTAGTAGTGACCATATACTGTAAAAATTGAATCATATTGTGCCGTACAGTTACATGTATTTATCACTATCCCAATATGTTATGTACATACTGTACACATATGTACAGTATGTACATAACATATGTTCAGTTCATATGAGTAAACTGTCAATATAGGTAGATCCATTCTTAAGACAACAAAAAGAGTGTGTACACCCCTGGCCTAAAGGGTAGAGGATGGGGTCTGTAATTTATAGCCACACTTGACCCTCTAACCACTCATGAAATCCACAAGTCCATAAAACAAACCAAAAAAAAAAAAAGTAGATCCACAATGTGCCACAAGAGGGTGCTCGTCTGCCTCAAATCTCTCACTCTTTCTATCGCTGTGCCATTTGGCCTCTGAAATCCTGAACAGGCTTTAGACTTCAATAACCTGAGCTGAAACCTGCTGGCTGGAATCCCTTTGTTTTACGGACTCGTTGTGTTGTTCAACTGAGCCCGTCGTCAGCAGTTTTCCCTACGATCTGTCTCACAAATCCCACTGAGTCATCAGCCCCAGGCTGACCGTCTTTGTCCAACAACATGTGCTGATCTCGGTGTCCGACCGCACTCCTGCCCCACCGTCAGCTCATCAGTGAGTCAAGGCCTACAAAACACAGGCTACCAACATCGGGTGTAGTCTAGCAGCTAACCAAAGTGATGAAATGACTGTGGGTTCCAGCAGAGGGCCCCAGTCAACTTCACACCCCAGTGTTTATGTGACAAAATAGCACCTCAGGTTTTGTTTAGTTTGGTTTGGCTTTTGAGGGGGATTAGCAAAAATGCTAATTCCAGCATGTTGGTTAAATATTACATTTACATAGTTCTGGAATTAAATCTACAACAGAACCCAGAATTTGTCAAATTTATAACTTAGCAGTTCTCATAAGCTAGTCAATCCACCAGTAACTGTCAGCTCTGTTGTTTGCTGTTAGCAGGGAAGCTAAACGGACATCTTTGGTGATTAAATATGAACTTGAGAGTCTAAAAAGCTCCAAGGAACCTAATCACACCATTATGCAATTAATGGCATTGCGGGAAAGATAAAATTAATTTAAAAAGTATTGTATTGCACACATTTATTGCCCTATTATAATTAAACAAACATAAAAATGTAATTAAAATATAATTAAAAATGATAATTTCCCTCTCACAGTAGCAGTTAAAATATTTCTTGTACATCTCAACTTAAAAATGAAATAAATAAATCATTAAGGTAAAGCTAGTTGCCACTGTCAGTGTGTTAACATCTAGTTTGTTACATAACTTACCCTCAAGAGTCGAGCATTACATTCATAACATCATAACAGGCACCTTAACAACCACAGCCGGAAGTTGAAATTTGGAAATGAGTTTTCCTTTTGTTTCTGGACGGAAAACCAATATAGAAATACGTATTTAATCGGTGAGCAGTCTATGTCTATGTCCATGATCGTAGCGTGAGTTAATGAGGACGGAGGAAGGTAAACAGCAGTTGATAATTTCAAAATAAAACAGGAAGTGTAATGTTGTATACGTAGAGCTAGAGTACATCTCAGAAAAAAATAACAAAACTTAAGCACCTCTTTCCGTGGCACCTTATTAGGCTAGAGTAAGTTCTGGATGCCAGATTAATGTGACTAATATCCCATAATTCATTGCTCTTCATGAGCCAAGTGGTCATTTCTTCTGTGTGGACAACAGTCGTGGTTTGCATGCTTTTATAGGATGACCAATAACAAGGAGGATTTGCAGTGCTGACTGACGTTTTCTACAATATCCAGGACAGCTCCTTTACATCCAACGGCCTATTCAAGGACTATTAATCACCTGAAGAGCAGGAGGGACGTGAGATTTAGTGACATGGGATTCCGATCCATCAGAGGAGTAATTAGAGTTCTGCTGACGCCGAGCAGTAAAAATGCAAAGGTGAATAAAATAATGCGGGACGGTTGGAGATTAAACCTGCACGGGATAATGCTTTAAATCAAACTGGACGGTTGGAGATTAAACCTGCACGGGTGTAACGGTCTCATATCTGTTTGATTTGCTGCATCGATATTCATCCAGACAGAATTACAGCGTCTGTCATCACCCACCGTACAGTATGTGAAGGCTTTAAACATCCACGACAAAGGCTCTTCGAATCAATAACTTTAGTCACAACACTGTGGCGGGAAAAATATCTTTCTGCGTGTTTTCGGTGTTCTGCACTGAATTCAAAATATTTTATAACTTATCACTTATACATTTCTAATTAACGTTAACTATTCTAACTATTTCTAAACTGAAATACGTTTAGCTTGGAGTACTCTTGCTGACTACGTTTACCTCATGTGGCTTTTACTTAAGTCAAGTCATTAAAATATCTTGACGGTAAATTCTGCTTCTTTATAACTATCAAAAAAATTAAATTAAATTAATGCTTAATTTTAGGTATGGCAATAATATTTACTTTCATTGTACTATCATATATATATATATATGTATATATATATATATATAGTTATAATTATACTAGTTCTGCTTAAATATACATATACATACCATATAGACCATTTATCTATATATGTATATATATATAAAACAATGGCATAATTGAAATATAATAAATAATAATTGAGATTGAAATCAACAACACCACACACCGCAACAATAATTACCTACTAATACTACTAAAACTAATCTATCTACTTCTACTAAACTACTTATCTACCAACATCCACTGCTCAGGTTTCCCATATTTATTGATAGTGTGCTGCTACTCATGTTTGTATTTTAATATATTTTACCTATTTGTGCGTTTTTATTGTTGTTTTGCTGCTGGAGCCTAAATTTCCCAAAGGGAACTCCCCAGGGATTGATAAAGTTCTATCAGATCTATCAGTTTGCTATTTCGTCGACTGTATTATGTCAATGTTTTCTCCCAATTTAAGTTACACCTGAATTACACTTTTGTGTGTTTCTTTTCTACACAACGCATGCACTTCTATTTAAAAAAGGTCAAAAAAATTATATGAACTCCAGGTCAACAAGAGTTTAGTATAGAGGTGTACTGACAGTGTAAATTGTACTGGGTTGTACAGCAGCTTCTATGCTGGGTCAGTACTTTGAACAATAGATGGGCTGCGGGGTCTTTGTCCCATCCAGGTATAAATGAACCCATGTTCAGACAGACAGGCATCAGTTCTCACATAGTTCTCTCAGAGCCCTGGGAAAAACCACAACTACCAACATGGGAAAGGTAATTCATTCACAACAGGATTAACTAATTAAATTAAATACAATAACTGTGAATTCAAGTTTTCAACACTCTGTTTTTGTTGTCCTTCCAGATCATCTTCTACGAGGACAGGAACTTCCAGGGTCGCTCCTATGAGTGCATGAGCGACTGCTCCGACATGTCCTCCTACCTGAGCAGGTGTCACTCCTGCAGGGTGGAGAGCGGCTGCTTCATGGTCTACGACCGCACCAACTACATGGGCAACCAGTACTTCATGAGGAGGGGCGAGTACTCCGACTACATGAACATGATTGGATGGAGCGGTGGAATCAGGTCCTGCCGTATGATCCCCATGGTAGGGTGACAAGTCAACTACAGGAACTCCAACATTTATTCGACCAAAAATCAGACAGTCTTTGAGTTTATAACTGAACCATTCTGATGTCTTCTTTGAATAACTGACTGAATAACTAACTGAGTAACTCTATAACTGAACCATTCTGGTGTCTTCTTCCAGCACCGTGGCTCCTACAGGATGAAGATCTACGAGCGTGAGAACTTTGGCGGTCAGATGTACGAGCTGATGGACGACTGCGACAACATCATGGACCGCTACCGCATGAACGACTGCATGTCCTGCAACGTGATGGACGGCCACTGGCTGATGTACGAGCAGCCTCAGTTCAGAGGCAGGATGATGTACCTGAGGCCTGGAGAGTACAGGAGCTTCAGGGACATGGGCTGGAGCGGCATGAAGTTCATGAGCATGAGGCGCATCACTGACATGTGCTGAATGTAAATATGTATGTCCAATAAAAAAATATTGATCATTTATTGATCAGTGTTTTTCATGGTAAACCTTTGGTTTTGTGGTTATTTTTGTTACGAGAATGAATTTAATGTGATTTGTCCATAGATTGACAAAAGCTACTGGCAACATAAGTCACTAAATCAGGAGTAGTACTGTCCACTAGTACACTGGTATTCAAAATGTCCAAATTGACCCAAACTGCGAGCTTTTCCAAAATGGCTGAATACCACAGGTGACCTGTTGGATTCCAGATGAACATCTCTGAAGGCTTTCATTATATTTCTAATATATACGTAATTAAACAAGTTTAGCTGCTGCCAGTCACCAACAACATAATGAAATTCTAGCTTAAGTCGAGTCAAATTTAGCTGCTGCCACTCACCAACAACATAATGAAATTCTAGCTGTTACCATATAGAACCTCTGTGGAACATTCTTGTATATGTTAGCATAGCTGTTAGCATCCAGGAGTTTCCATACAATGGAGCCAACACTGGCAAATATGAGCTTGGTAAAGCTAGTGTTCCTAGCTGAATAAAAGTTAGCTTGCGGTACAAACGCTTCTGACGCAATTTAAAACAACTGGCTGACTTTATAAACATGACACCAAAAAACGTTTTGCGTATACCAGGTGCAGAGAGTTTACTCTCCAGACAAAATAACAGGAACTCACCCGACACAGGACCAGACATGGCAGGGACACCTATCCAGAACACAACGCATGGACACAGAACAATGGCCTAACCAAGAGTGAATGAGGGAGAGAGGTATATACACCCAGAGCACCATGTGACAGCAGTGAGACTAATGAACAGGTGATCATTGATGACACTGACTGCACAGCAGACACAAGCAGAAGGGAAGAGGAGACAGACTTCAAAGTTTGTTAGTTTCAGTGGTGCTCTATTTTCCTGGCAGTTCTTCACATACCAGACATCTAGAACCGGTGGTTCTCCAACTTTTTCTACTCTGTACCACCTGAGAAAACATCGATCTCTCTGAGTACCACCATGATGACCAACATTAGAATTCCCCTGGCCCGTTCCACGTTCAACTTGCAAGTGATCCCATGATTCCGTGCTGCCTGTGCTTACGTGAGCAACGGACTTGCATTGCAGCAAAACAAACAAAAAAACAAACAAACAAGTAAATAAATAAAAGGACCAGACGTCCTATTTCAGAATCTCACAAGTAGCTAGACATTTTTTTCTAAATATTGAATTAATTGTGCATGGTATGTTTCAGATTTATTCAACTGAAAATGCCAATGTGAAAAAATATTTCCCCCGCGTACCACAGTTTGAGAACCACTAATAATTTCAAATTAGGAAATGATCTGGTCCTTTAAAAAACATTTTTGCACTCATTTCCAGTAATAATATGCTTTTTTCTCTCTACAAAGTTACCCATGGCCTGGTACTGGTCCAAAGAAGTGCAGAATAAAGTATTTACATTACAGAATTAAATATAAAGCAACATTCCACCTCTGTACCTGAAGTTCATATTGATGTATCCAGCAGACATAATGAGCACTTCATCATTACAACAAACCTCTAGTCACTAGATGGCAGCATTGTAGCGTATTTTATTAATCTATATTGATAACCAAGGGATTGTATGAAGAATGCTGGTACCAGTCACTCTTACAGTGGTTTGTACAAAATCAGAAATTAGGTGTTTGCACAATATCGGCATATCAGATATCGACAAAAAGTTAATATCGAACATCCCTAGTGATAATCCTCATCAGGTTTAAGTTGCATATAACATGATAAAATTCAGGTAATGCTAAAATGAATATAATAAATGAGTTCCATTTACTAAAAATGTGACTTTGTTTTTAATGAACTTAAAAGTTCATGTTATTCAAGTTTGGATCTCTTTATTTTTATTTTTTTTAAGTGCCTACATTTTTTAAATCCAGCTGATTTAATTGGATTTGTGTCGTTCAGTGTGATTTTGATAGTGGCACACAGGAGTAGGAAGTGACTGGACAACAAACAAATGTTACGTCAAAGAGTAGGTTTTTATTTTTTCGTTTTCACTGCGACTCGTTCTTCACCATAGTCTTTACATGTCCATGATGCGCCTCATGCTCATGAACTTCATGCCGCTCCAGCCCATGTCCCTGAAGCTCCTGTACTCTCCAGGCCTCAGGTACATCATCCTGCCTCTGTACTGAGGCTGCTCGTACATCAGCCAGTGGCCGTCCATCACGTTGCAGGACATGCAGTCGTTCATGCGGTAGCGGTCCATGATGTTGTCGCAGTCGTCCATCAGCTCGTGCATCTGACCACCAAAGTTCTCACGCTCGTAGATCCTCATCCTGAAGGAGCCACGGTGCTGGAAAAGAAGAAGATATTTTTCAATAACTTTGCAGGATTTAACAGATTTCGATTTCATAATTTGTTTTGAAATATTTTTTTTACCAAATTATGGGAACAGGTGTGTGTATAGTGTCAGGAAATAAAGAAACAACAGAACTGGCTAATTCTGAGGCCCGATTTCAAAAACATGATGATCCAATATTGCTGCCTTTGGTTAATGCTCCTGATGTGAGTAGTTATGTCTCGTTTAGGTTCATCATAAAAATTAATCGATTCACCTATGTCGTTGTCAGATGTGAGGGATTATTCAAATTATTTTTGATTCCATTTCTTCCAGTAAATATGAAATAAAAAGTTCCACTAAAATTTAAATAGCGCAAGTACGTGTTGTCTTATGAGCTATTAGCTAACAGCTATTAGCTAATAGCTATTATTGACCGACTGCTGTCCGATGTTGCACTAATGTTGGCTATCACTGTATATATTGCGTGACTAGATACTAGGAAATAATCTTCAAATCAGATTTACAATTTATGCTTTGAACATTTTAAACTACTCGTCGCTCCTAAAGGGCTAAAATATTCATTTGTCAAAGCTCAATCTATTTTCAGTCGATTTTTCATTTTTATCTCTACATTTAGCTGTGACTTCAGGTTCCTCACCATGGGGATCATACGGCAGGACCTGATTCCACCGCTCCATCCCATCATGTTCATGTAGTCGGAGTACTCGCCCCTCCTCATGAAGTACTGGTTGCCCATGTAGTTGGTGCGGTCGTAGACCACGAAGCAGCCGCTCTCCACCCTGCAGGAGTGACACCTGCTCAGGTAGGAAGACATGTCGGAGCAGTCGGTCATGCACTCATAGGAGCGACCCTGGAAGTTCCTCTCCTCGTAGAAAATGATCTGGAAAGAGCAGATGTGTTTTTTTTTATCTTTTACCAGCATACTTTGACATAAGGAAAACTCTAGATCCTTCAGTGAGGTGCATCTGTGAGCGTGGCTTACCTTGCCCATGGTCATGTTGTTGGTGGTTGAGGTTCTTCAGAGAACGGTTGTCACTGCTACTGATGCTGATGCCGGTCCTGGTTTTGCAGTTACTTTTATACCTGAACATCCTCCCCAAAACCCTGTGGCTGCCTTTGTTTGCAAAGCTGCACGTCAGCAACATGGTATAGAAGCCCAGGGTCTGCTGGTGGGGTCTGACGTCATGTGACTTTAAAACGACTCTTTAACAGAGGAATCCACACAATGGCATCATTATTTTTTTTGTCTTTCGTAAAAGTCACAAAGACATGACAATACATCACCCTACATGTGCTTAGAAAGTACATTTAACTTCAACCTGTTTCGGCAGGAACCAGCTTTTAAAAAGTATAGGAATATTTCTGTTTGTTCTGTATTTAATACTAGGCTATTTTAATGCTACACAGAATCATGTATTTGCAGATAAAGACAGACAGAAAACTAAAATTAATCTATAAATGGTAAATTAACAGAACCAACCATTAGGACATGGAGCTAAAAAAATACAAAAAAATATTGTTTTTAGGATTGAAAGAGTTCTGGTCAATAAAAATCAGAAATTGTACCACAGTATTCACACAAAAAGTATCCAAAGATTCTTGAAATACATTTTGATGGTATTTAGCTATATATTCCTGATATTTTAGGTAGTGTTATTTACATCGCTTATATGTTATTTATTAAATAAATATTTTATTTAATAAATATTATATATGTACATACATATATATTTTATATATTCTATATAATATTTATTATTTTATATATATTATATAATATACTTTTTTTTTTTAAATTTCACCATAATTTTTTTGTTGATGTCTCAATTACATGTTGCTATAATAAACGTATCTCTAATTACGAAAAAAGTTCCCTGCTGTGAGATTTCTAGTGCATTGGACAAAAAGAAAATTACACCCACTGTGTTCTATAGGCTTCACTCATGAGTTGATGAGTCAGGGTTTCTCTGAGAGGGCGGGGTCAGAGGCTGGTGCTTTACATCGGTGGGGTATAAAAGGGAAAGGTTCAGCCGTGGTTGACAGGCAGCTCGAGAGCAACAGCTACAACACATCACCAGCCAAGATGAGCAACACTGGCATGAACATGAGGGGCAAGGTAACCAACGCTGTCTGACAAACCTTCAACTACGGCTAAATATGCACTATATATATATATACACATGTATTCATAGTTAGGGTATTGAAATACCTCCTGATAATGATGCCAAGACCTTAGAGACCACAGATGCTTTGGTATTTTGCTGTTAGCAAGCAAGCTGGATTAGGGTATTGAAATACCTCCTGATAATGATGCCAAGACCTTAGAGACCACAGATGCTTTGGTATTTTGCTGTTAGCAAGCAAGCTGGAATATGTTAATTAAATATTTGGAAAGTATCTTATTACGTGTGCTGGTTTTAGGATCAGAAAACCATACAGTTGAAGAAGCTGCGTATTTGGGTCTGGGTTTTTGAATTTCTAGAGGACTCAATTCAATAGTCCTCCTTCTGGATAGTTAAAGGTGTTTTAAACTGTTTGTTCCAGATCATCTTCTACGAGGACAGGAACTTCCAGGGCCGCTCCTATGAGTGCATGACCGACTGCTCCGACATGTCCTCCTACCTGAGCAAGTGTCACTCCTGCAGGGTGGAGAGCGGCTGCTTCATGGTCTACGACCGCACCAACTACATGGGCAACCAGTACTTCATGAGGAGGGGCGAGTACTCCGACTACATGAGCATGATGGGATGGAGGGACTGCATCCGTTCCTGCCGCATGATCCCCATGGTAACTCATCGGACAAATATGCTTGATGATGATGTTGCAGTAGCTGCACCTTAACACAGAATGACAGAACATTTTTTTTGTCACAAACAATGCCCAAGTCTTTAAAAGTTCAAGAAGAATGAACAAACATATAAAAATACTTGTTTCCAAAAGCTTTATATGTCATATCTAGTACACTAGATAAAGTTACTTCTAGCTATTTAGCTACACACGATCTATTTATCTAGGTAACTGTACCCTTCTATTGGCTAACTTTAGCTAAGTCTCTGCCAACCATAAAACCCAACCAGCAATATACATCCTGCAGATTTGATGCAGATCAGTTTTGGATTCCAAATTCTTCAAAATTGATCAACTGGCATTAAGATTGCACATATAACTCTATTTATAGCCCGAATAACGATATTCTGACCTAAATTAAACTAAAATGTTGCTAAATTTGCTCCAAATAGCACCGTGGCTCCTACAGGATGAAGATCTACGAGCGTGAGAACTTTGGCGGTCAGATGTACGAGCTGATGGACGACTGCGACAACATCATGGACCGCTACCGCATGAACGACTGCATGTCCTGCAACGTGATGGACGGCCACTGGCTGATGTACGAGCAGCCTCAGTTCAGAGGCAGGATGATGTACCTGAGGCCTGGAGAGTACAGGAGCTTCAGGGACATGGGCTGGAGCGGCATGAAGTTCATGAGCATGAAGCGCATCACGGATTCCTGCTATTGAGAAGACAAACCGTTAAAATGTTGAGTAAATCAAACGTTTGCCACACATAACATCTGTGGCCGAGATGATGGACTATTTTTATTTAACAAATAAAAGCTCATGAAAATGTATTACATTTGTTGTGAAATTCTTTGGCACATTTCATTGATATGTTAAACAAGCACAAATCCACCACTGAACTTCTAATATTTAAAATTACAATTAAAAGATGCTGATAATCAACATTTGATAAATGTATTCATTTATAAGAATTTCTTTTTTTTTTCCAAGCATAGACGTAATCTCTATTTTGGCTTCAATATCTATTTATTGTCTTCTACTATGTTTTGGGGTACTAATTTTAGTATTACTTTTGGGCGGGATACAGTTTTCAAACATTGAGGTCAGAAAGTGAATGTATTCCATATAGAGCACAAGGATACAGCTTTCAAACATTGAGGTCAGAAAAGATAAAGTGAATGTATTCCATATAGAGCACAGTACGAGGTCAATTGGGCTTGTGAGCTACCACTTGCTTGCCGCCTTTTTCCAAGTAGCTCGCCAAAGGGCTAATGAAGCATATATACATTTGACAAACTCAATTGGCCGGTCGGCAAGTCTGCTTACACTTTTATCGAATTAAACTGGACAGTTGTCCCTTCGCAACCCAACACAAAATTATTATTTGCCGTTAGCTATCAAAAACGGCCAAAACGCACACAAGCCACCGACCAACTCCTAACACTACAGCAGAGAAGATAATGCGCATGCGCTACACCGTGGTGCGAAAATGCAGTAAACAAAAGAAGAGTCATTACAAAAACAATGTTTGAAATATAGCAGCACAAAAAAAAAAAACTTTATAACAGGTAAAATTATAATTTATATTTTATCACTTTTTTTTAATGTATTGCTTGTTGGTTTAACATACAAAAAGTTTAAGTTCAATTATAGCAAATTTTCAAACCAGCGAATAATTGCTTTGAACAATTGTAATTTCAATACGAATCAAAATAATTGTGAATATTAAATAAATTATTTTAATAATAATAAATGATTGAAAAAAGGGACAAAGCCGAAAGAAAACATTTTTTTAAGTGTCTAAAATATTGAAAACTCGCTACAGCACGAGAACGCTGCGTTTGTATCTGTCATTATCAAACGCAGTCGGCTGTGCTCCTTTTGGTCAGCAGACGGCGACATTGTGCGGAAAAGAAAACTAGAAAATAGGAACAGCTTATTTGATTAATTTTCCAGCAATGTACAAGAGACAAGATTTGAACCTTCGATCCTTCACTTAGAAGACTAACTCTCTGACCACTAGATTAAAAACCACTACATTTAGTCACAAGATAATGACCAAAAATAAATAAAATGAGTAAAATGTGACACTTTTGATACATTTTTAATACTTTCCTTTACTTTAACGACATTTTCCCACACAACTAGAACGCGATTTATCAATTAATTAAACATTTGAATTGAGTGAGAGCCCTTATATGTGTGTCTGTGCGTGAACATGAATGTATAACCACACAAAAGAACAAAATGGAAAAAAAGGCCTTGGTTACCTGGTTGTTCTTTGTAGAATGCCAAATAATAATTCTGTAATAATAATAATAATAATAATAATAATGTGATGTTTTAACAAAATGCGATATGTGGACGGTAAGATATTGTAAATGTTTAGGCAAAGAAAGTTGATTGAGTTTGTTGCCAATGAGCTATGAAAATAAATAAAATGAGTTGTTGTTAGTCCGTTTTATTTTATAAAAGTAGCTCTCACAGGATATAAGGTTGGAGAGTCCTGGATTAAAGGATAATGGTGACGATAGATTTATGAAATTATAGCTGCATTGTACATAAATGTGTGACTAAATTAGTCTTATGTAGAGTAAAAAAGGTAGTCAAAAGCTGTAACATTGTTATATACTCAAAAACTTTAGGTACATATTATTAACAAGCTGCCAATATCTAAACCCTATGGTGATAATTTCCACACAGTAATGAACATTAGGTGAGACTGCTTCATGTAATAATGTACAATACTTTAGTTCAACTGTAGGTGACATTAACGGTTTCAGCTGACATGCCTTTATAGTGTGAACTTAAATACATTAAAACCAGCATTACAAAAGGTATGCAGAAGCTTTGTGTTACCTGCTGAAAAGCTGCCAATGTTTCTAAAGTCTTCCAGGGCACAGTCACGTGACGACATGAATTCAGCAGCTCTGTATACCATGATGCTAGGTCAGGGGTTTTATCAATGGGGCCCGGTGACTGTGGTCGGGTATAAAAGCCAGATCTGAAGCAGAGAGTACAGCAGTGCAGCAGTAGCAGCAGCAACACCAGCAGCAGCAGCTCATCTAAAAGCATGACCTCCACTGACATGAACATGGGCAAGGTAGACTTCCTTTTCACACAAAAATATAAACATATCTGTTAACCGACAAATCTAAACTGACAAATGTTGTCCTTCCAGATCATCTTCTACGAGGAGAGGAACTTCCAGGGTCGCTCCTATGAGTGCATGAGCGACTGCTCCGACATGTCCTCCTACCTGAGCAGGTGTCACTCCTGCAGGGTGGAGAGCGGCTGCTTCATGGTCTACGACCGCACCAACTACATGGGCAACCAGTACTTCATGAGGAGGGGCGAGTACTCCGACTACATGAGCATGATTGGATGGAGCGGTGGAATCAGGTCCTGCCGTATGATCCCCATGGTAGGGTGACAAGTGAACTACAGGAACTCCAACATTTATCCAATCAAAAATCAGACAGTCTTTCAGTCTATAACTGAACCATTCTGATGTCTTCTTCCAGCACCGTGGCTCCTACAGGATGAGGATCTACGAGCGTGAGAACTTTGGCGGTCAGATGTACGAGCTGATGGACGACTGCGACAACATCATGGACCGCTACCGCATGAACGACTGCATGTCCTGCAACGTGATGGACGGACACTGGCTGATGTACGAGCAGCCTCAGTTCAGAGGCAGGATGATGTACCTGAGGCCTGGAGAGTACAGGAGCTTCAGGGACATGGGCTGGAGCGGCATGAAGTTCATGAGCATGAGGCGCATCACTGACATGTGCTAAACGTCTGTATTTGACTTTAGTGAATCAAATAAATGTGTAATTCCTAAACATGGTTGTCCTTTATTGTTGGAACTTGCGTCGACAAAATAATAGTAGGTTAAATTTGACACATTAAGTGGGATGCGGCCCACTCCCTACAGGGACTGGTCAGGCCTAGGCTGGAGACCACTATAAAATAAATGAAAGAATGAAAGGGAATTACTTGTCATTGTGACACAGCACACAGAGTGGTGGAAACAAGCCTTTGTCTTCATTATTTATTTCAGTGCCTTGCATATGGATCTTTTAAACATGATCTAAACAGCTACATTTCTTAACATGACACTAGTTATTAATAGGTTATAATATATATGAAAAAAAATCTCAAATCAGCTATAAACTACTAATTTATTTATTTTGTTTTAACAATTGTTGAATTTAATTCTTAAATGGTCACTAAAATAAATAGGTTGTGCTGGATTTTAATGTTAACAAAAGCCAATGGTGGACTCAAGAAAGGAAAGTGAACTACTTGTCATTGTGACACAGCACACCACTGCACAAAATCAAAGGTGACCTGTGTTTTTAGCCCATCACCAAAGTGAACAGTGGGCAGCAGTGTGTGGGCCAGCTGGTGGACTCAAACCTAAAGCCTTCTGGACCTAAGTCTGCTTCCTTCACAACTGCGCCACCACTGCCCCATAGTCTTAATTATGGCAATGTTAGATTATTCGTACCATAATTGAACATTTAGCAATGGTGACCTTTTGTTTTACATCCATAGGTAAAAATACTTTAGTTCTGATGGAAACATTTTCTACGACTGAGTAAAGTCTGTGATAGCCACTGTAAAAAGAATGTTTAGACTTCTGTGCCAGACTAAAATTATCTGTCAGGCCAAGATGGCTCAAAGTAAAGTAGCTCATGTGCTAGTCAAAAAAACAGAGCAAATACTAACATATTATTACAGTTGATGAAGCTGGAGAGATACATTTAATGTTTTTTTGGGGTTTTTTTTATTGTAATTAAAGTTCTAATCTACTGCAGAGCATAAGGGGCCACATAGAAAATAAAAATGATGAGATGCTGAAACGCATTAAATTGTAGACAACATGAACTTCTAAATGTCATCGATTACATATTTGTTTTGCAATAAATTTAACAATTCAAAAGATGTGTTTTGTTGTTACTGTTTTCATGAATCTCAGATAAAAGTATTTTGTTTGTGATGTGCATGTGAATTAATTCATTGACAGTAAATCATGTACTATGAACAAGGAAATATTTACAACAAGAAACAGTTTTATGACTGTAAATATGGAATGTTAAATTATATTAAGGTGTAAATTAAAATGTAAGATAGCTACAATTTGAAAATTTTATATAATGCATTTAAGCATCGAGATGATTTCAGTTACTGCTGCATTTATTAATTAAGAATGATTTATCACCATGGTTTTTACAATGTGGCACCTCCAACGAGTTGCTAAATAACTTTTAGTGATAAGAAACATGTAAACAATGACTTTATTCTAGTTTAATCACTGTTTAATTAGAGCAAATTAAGTGAAGTTTTCTAGCTGAAATTAAAAATAAATAAATTAACAGCTAGCAAAGCTATAGCATTTTGTTCTTAAATTGCATTAATTCATTTTTGTAGCAGTAACATTGATCATTTGAGCAAAATATGAATATAATTGATTTAACCTGGCAAGTTCAATTACATAAAATACAATTTCCAGAAAATTAGATACAGATACAAGTACAGTGTACAGACTTAGATCTGCATATTTTTTATCTTTTTTTATTTTCAAACCTATTGTTTTTATTTAAGAATTCCCTTAATAAAAATTGCACATAATGTCATTTCTCTGCTGAATGACCTAAAAAGTATTATACGAGAGGTGAATTGCTGTTGAAAATATGCTTCCTATTGTTCAGCAGCCCAGAACAATAACAGGGGCCCTCCTGTCTAACAACCTGCAACCACCGCAAATCACCATATTCATGTGAATGTCCTTTTAACCTGGACTCTACGAGAGGACCCCCTCTGAAGCCCACTGCATGTTGCACTGTCAGGACTTTAAACAAAAGGTCGATGGAGCCAATGGGATACGAGGTCAGGTATAAAAGCAACAGGAGAGACACGAGAGGAGTGTGCAGACCTTCTCAGCCAAAGGAACAACAACTGAAACCATGACCATGGGCAAGGTGAGCAGCCATTCTGAGAATCTCTTCATGTTTTTTTTTAGGTGTGATGTCCACTCTTTGTCTGAATGATGCTTTCTCTTCCCTCCACAGATCATCTTCTACGAGGACAGGAACTTCCAGGGTCGTTCCTATGAGACCAGCAGCGACTGCTCCGACATGTCCTCCTACCTGAGCAGGTGTCACTCCTGCAGGGTGGAGAGCGGCTGCTTCATGGTCTACGACCGCACCAACTACATGGGCAACCAGTACTTTGTTAGGAGGGGAGAGTACTCCGACTACCAGCGCATGGGAATGAGCGACTGCATCAAGTCCTGCCGCATGATCCCCATGGTAGGGTGACAAGTGAACTACAGGAACTCCAACATTTATTCGACCAAAAATCCTTCAGTCTATAACTGAACCATTCTGATGTCTTTTTCCAGCACCGTGGCTCCTACAGGATGAGGATCTACGAGCGTGAGAACTTTGGCGGTCAGATGCACGAGCTGATGGACGACTGCGACAACATGATGGACCGCTACCGCATGTCCGACTGCATGTCCTGCAACGTGATGGACGGCCACTGGCTGATGTACGAGCAGCCTCAGTTCAGAGGCAGGATGATGTACCTGAGGCCTGGAGAGTACAGGAGCTTCAGGGACATGGGCTGGAGCGGCATGAAGTTCATGAGCATGAGGCGCATCATGGATTCCTTTTATTAGGTCACCAGTAAAATGAAAGAGACTTACTTTACCTCAAATAAAATTTAATCTATTTGTTTTAAACAAATCCCATGAGTCACATGTTTTTTTTTGGGGGGGCAAGGGAGGGGTGTTTTGAGGTTTATTTATATAGAAGAAATACATTTTAAACAAGTCTTTTAAATTGGCAAAGAAATAATGGTGAAAAAATAGGGGTAAAATAAAAAACAGAGACTCAAAACTCAAATTATAACATTATTATTATTAAACATTTAACTTTACTTATCTATTTTGTGGTATAATAGATCTTTCATGTAAAATGTAGATACCTACAAAAATAAAAATGTGTCTAAAAAACCTTTTTGAACTCTCCCTTCTGTAGTCTCCTACTGAATACACCTAGAGCACTGCTTAACGTCATACAGGTCAGAACCACAACACAGAAAGAACCAGGGTTTATTTTATATTTATCGGGGTTTTTAGAGTCCATCAAACGTCTTTTCAGCAGATATGAAGAAAAAAAGGTCTTAACATTAACAGTTGTATCTCAATAGATGCTGTAGATAGCTCACTTTAAAGCACCATTAGCAATGCTAATGCTACAAAGCTATGGAGGAACAAAGGACTGTGAAAACAAAATAGTTAAATAACCATGTATATTTTTAACATAAAATGAATTGGTACATTTACATTTACATACAATTATAAATAATACACTTAACCGCACAATTTTAATGTAATTCAAAATTTAATTAATTAATGACGCACTTAATTTTTGTTCGGTGTACTTGCCTTAAACCTCAGCGTGTGGATGTTCCTTCCTCGGCCCTCGATAAAGCACAGTAACGGGTTTTCCGAGTATGTTGAGCAGAAGTTAACAAAATAAAATAAAAACAAACGAACAGAGGGTCCGACGACTTCCCGTTTTAAAATGACAAAAGTCGTAATTTCATGTTTGGAAAGTCCAGCGAACAGTTTGAAAAGGCTCCCCGCACTCCATTACCGCCATTACCGCGAACTGACGCGTCACTGTTATTTTTAAAAATGATTGGCTGGTGTTCAGCGTGATTTCGTTTTTGTCCAATAAAACGCCTTGTCATGACCTCTTCCGAAGGTTAAAGTTGACTTGAAGTTAAAGTTCAAATAAAAAATGTAACATTCACTTACACAGGTGTATGTAGTTTTTTTTTCAACCCCCAGATATAATAATGTCTGTATTGTAATGGTATGTAATTGTTAAAAACCTCTTTTATTTAAAAAAAATTAAAATTACGTTTTTTTACAGTAAGTGACTTCCTGTTATTTTATGTCTGACTGATAAAATAAGTCTATTATTTTATAAATCTATCTTTTATAAGTCTATCCCTGTAATTTTATGAATATTTTCTTTTTGACAAGAATACATGAAAAAATAAAAACAGTCAAATGAACTGGCAAAAAGAAATAATGTTGAATAAAGGATTTTCTTTACAGTATAGAGTGAACGTAAGTGTAATTGTTTTTCCCTTCAGTAAGGCTAAAGGTGCTACAATGAAATGAAAAGGGCAAGAAGGAAGTATATCTACAGGAATTGTTTAGCTCTCAGTTGTGTCATGTTAAGAAATGTAGCTGTTTAGATCATGTTTAAAAGATCCATATGCAAGGCACTGAAATAAATAATGAAGACAAAGGCTTGTTTCCACCACTCTGTGTGCTGTGTCACAATGACAAGTAATTCCCTTTCATTCTTTCATTTATTTTATAGTGGTCTCCAGCCTAGGCCTGACCAGTCCCTGTAGGGAGTGGGCCGCATCCCACTTAATGTGTCAAATTTAACCTACTATTATTTTGTCGACGCAAGTTCCAACAATAAAGGACAACCATGTTTAGGAATTACACATTTATTTGATTCACTAAAGTCAAATACAGACGTTTAGCACATGTCAGTGATGCGCCTCATGCTCATGAACTTCATGCCGCTCCAGCCCATGTCCCTGAAGCTCCTGTACTCTCCAGGCCTCAGGTACATCATCCTGCCTCTGAACTGAGGCTGCTCGTACATCAGCCAGTGGCCGTCCATCACGTTGCAGGACATGCAGTCGTTCATGCGGTAGCGGTCCATGATGTTGTCGCAGTCGTCCATCAGCTCGTACATCTGACCGCCAAAGTTCTCACGCTCGTAGATCCTCATCCTGTAGGAGCCACGGTGCTGGAAGAAGACATCAGAATGGTTCAGTTATAGACTCAAAGATTTTTGGTCGAATAAATGTTGGAGTTCCTGTAGTTCACTTGTCACCCTACCATGGGGATCATACGGCAGGACCTGATTCCACCGCTCCATCCAATCATGCTCATGTAGTCGGAGTACTCGCCCCTCCTCATGAAGTACTGGTTGCCCATGTAGTTGGTGCGGTCGTAGACCATGAAGCAGCCGCTCTCCACCCTGCAGGAGTGACACCTGCTCAGGTAGGAGGACATGTCGGAGCAGTCGCTCATGCACTCATAGGAGCGACCCTGGAAGTTCCTCTCCTCGTAGAAGGTGATCTGGAAATGATAAACATTGATGGTAACTAGATGGCTTTTTTGTCTTACACTTGAATTACAATCAGAAAAAATAGATTAAACTGCAAATGCAGTAAAAATATTATGAAACTTTTTTTACCTTGCCCATGATGGTGATTTAGGTTTCTTCCAGTTGATGTTTCAACTTGCTCTGCTCACTCTGTGGTCCCTGGTCCCTTTTATACCAAAGCCTGGGGCCGACCGTGTGTTGTTATTCAAATGTGAAAGAGAACTGATGAACTGGCAGTATGACTTTTGCTGAGTGGTGTCCACAAATGTGTGACAAAAGTTCTCAGTCCATATATTTCTGGCAGTGGTCACCAGCATTGTCTTCTATAAAAAGCCTTTTGTTTGGGTGTGTTCTCTGAAATTCTACCTTATCCACATGTGGATGGGCAGAGATGTGCAAAACCAGGGAACATTCTGACAGACACAGCAAATCAATCTGGGGTGATTAGACAACAATTTGTTAATTTGATTAATTTTTACTTTGTGGCTGATATCATTTTGTCTTTATTTTGTATTATATATACATTATATATATATATATATATATATATATATATATATACACACATATATATAACACACAGAGAGCCCAAAAAAAAAGAGAGATCTACTAACCTTGCACATGACACAGGTGAAACGATTAGTGTCTCAAGTTAAACAAAAGTTACAATAAGGGACATTTTGTTTTATTTTTTACTAAATTGAATTCTATTGATTTGAATACTAATTGAATCTGGAAATAAAGAAATCTTGCACAGAAGTTGTGTTTTAGGCATTTATTAGTGGTTTCTGCCAGTAGCCGCCAGTCGGTGCTTGACGTGGAGCAGTTTCTCATCGTCATCAAATACTTTTTCTATTGATTGATCAATTTGAGAAAAAAAAGTCAAATAAACATTTACAAAACACAGGTGAGGAACTCGGCAAAGTGGTATTTAAATGACACGTTTAAGAAATTAATTCCAATTTTAATTAATAAATTCCACATTTAAGTAATTATTAAAAATATTTATTTATTAAATGGTTGCACTTTCAGACCTCCATACTTACAAACATGCTTATACATAAGGCCTCAAAAAACTAAAATGAACAGAAATTGGCTAAGATTTTCTTAGCAGATCAAACTTTTCAATTAAATCAGTTTTATTTATTTCTTATTCTTTATTATAACATGGACTTTAGTAAAAGAAAGAATAACACTCATTATGAAACAAACAAAACCTGAGATTACATTTCTGGAATTTGCATTTATGCATGTAAAATTTTGTAAAAAAAATTTCAAAATCAAACTTCTTGCTTCATGCACAAAACAGGCTTTTAAGACTGACAATGGGTGTCTTTCAAATGAAAATAAAATTGACATCTGCTGTCGATTCTCTCCAGTATAAATTTCTTCATGATCCCTTAGATGTACAATGTTTCTCACTTGCATGCGTTTTTTCGTGTATACTCAGATTTACCTGTCTAGTAAATTTTCTTTCGCATAAAGTGCAATGAAACAGATTCGGACGTGTGTGTATTCGTTCATGTAATGCCGCCTTGTGTTTTTCTGAAAAACATTTTCCACATTTACTGCAAGCAAACGGTTTCTCACCCGTATGACTACGTTGATGAATCTTCAGTTTTGACTTGGAAGCCAAAGTTTTCCCACATTCAGAGCAACTAAGTAGTTTCTCTCTATGGATTTTCCTATGGCTCTTCAAATCCACAGGCGATTTAAACGTTTCGCCACATATGGTACACTTACACTTATCTACTTTGTGAATTTTCTCATGTTGTTTAAGATGGCCTTTTAACATAAATCTTTTTTCACAATATAAGCAACCAAATGGTTTCTCCCCTGTATGAAAACATTCATGTTCTTTGAATGCCCACTTATCAGCAAATGATTTACCACACTCTGAGCAGCGGAATCCTTTCTCACTTGCATGCGTTTTTTCGTGTATACATAGATTTACCTTCCTGGTAAAAATTTTCCCGCAAAAAGTGCAATGAAACAGATTTGGACGTGTGTGTATTTGTTCATGTCTTGTCACCTTGTGTTTATCCGTAAAACTTTTTCCACATTTACTGCAAGCAAACGGTTTCTCACCAGTATGAATGCGTTGATGAAGCTTCAGTTTTGACTTGGAAGCCAAAGTTTTCCCACATTCAGAGCAACTAAGTAGTTTCTCTCTGTGGATTTTCCTATGGCTCTTCAAATCCACAGGCGATTTAAACGTTTCTCCACATATGGTACACTTACACTTATCTACTTTGTGCATTTTCTCATGTTGTTTAAGATGGCCTTTTAACATAAATCTTTTTTCACAATATAAGCAACCAAATGGTTTCTCCACTGTATGAAAACATTCATGTTCTTTTAATGCCCACTTATCAGCAAATGATTTACCACAATCTGAGCAGCGGAATCCTTTCTCACTTGTATGCGTTTTTTCATGTATACATAGATTTACCTTTCTGGTAAATGTTTTTCCGCAAAAAGTGCAATGAAACAGATCTGGAAGTGCATGTATTCGTTCATGTCTTGTCACCTTGTGTTTTTCTGAAAACCGTTTTCCACATTTACTGCAAGCAAATGGCTTCTCACCAGAATGAATGCGTTGATGAAGCTTCAGTTTTGACTTGGAAGCCAAGGTTTTCCCACATTCAGAGCAACTAAGTAGTTTCTCTCTATGAATTTTCCTATGGCTCTTCAAATCCACAGGCGATTTAAACCTTTCGCCACATATGGTACACTTACACTTATCTACTTTGTGCATTTTCTCATGTTGTTTAAGATGGCCTTTTAACATAAATCTTTTTTCACAATATAAGCAACCAAAGGGTTTCTCTCCTGTACAAATTTTCCCACGTCTAGTAAGATTGCCATTCTTAATCAATTTTTCTGCACAATCAAATGTTTTTTTCTCACTGTTGTGATTCGTAATCGGTGGCAGATCTGGCTTGGAGAGCCCTTGTCCACATTCAGAAAAACTCTCTTCAGTTTCCCAGAAGAGACACTTTGTTACTGTGAAAATGTTCTTTGTACCTTCACTGGTCTCTGTCCAATCATCACTGTCTTCGGTCCCACAAGAGTCTTCTGCATTATCCTCAGTCTTCAGTTTTACATGTTCACCTGAACATTCAGTCAAACGACAGAGCAGTGAAGGGTCAGGTTTCTCTTCCTCGTCCTCCATCTTCACTGCAATGGAAAGATCGATCTCCTCCTGTTTGATGCAAACTTCTTCCTCTTCATCTTTAATGATAGGGCTGTGTGGCTCCTTCTTCTCTACACTGAGTCTGCACTCCATCTGCTTAGGGAGAATTTCCACTCATTAATGACTTGTAGCTTTGGCTGTTCTGCAAAAAAAAGTTTTAGAGAAAATAAGAAAAAAAGCACATACTCACTGCGACGTAAAACTTATTCAGTCAAGTGTGCATCAGTTGAATGACTTACAACAAGACCTGAAATCACTACTGTTACTTTTCTATTTGCAAAAGAAAAATTGTAACAGCAATCACTTAAACCACTAATTCAATAACAAAAATAATAATGATTAATTATGGTAACACATGACATTATTCTATATAATGAAGTATGGGTAACTTAAAATGACAATCATCATCCATTGTCAATTTGTCTTATTTTTGAAGATTGATTTTCGATGAAGTATAACTACTCTATTGTTCCAAAAGGTTAAATTATAAGGAAAGAATTCTGGGTAAATGTTTTCCATAAACATAAACTTCTACCTTCACATACTACTGTTTGTAATGTAAGTGTGTAAGATTTCAGGCTACCAGAGCACCACTATTATTATACGATAGTTTATTTTATTATTATTTTAAATTAGATATATAAAGACTGGCGGAGATAGGCGGCCATAATTTCCGGATATTCTGTACAATCAAATCGCTGCCCACTGATTTGAACTGGATATCCAAGTTCCTCATCACCTAACTTCGCCTAAATCTTTCCCCAGAACTTAATTTTAAATATTATTATGCTAAGCATAAGTGGTATTCCCTGGTCTAAAAGGAAACTGTGGAAACTGTAAGCTTAGCCAGTAGATTTAGCTTTTATCGACTTTGTTTAGGAGACACTGACCTATTGTGTGCAGCCTGGTTGTGGACTGAATGGAGTCGTGTTTTGATGTTAACGACGTCACACCGTCGTTGTCCTTCAGGTATCCTAGAATATAAAAGTATTTTCTCTTTTGTAAGTTGTTTTTTTATTCGCCAACTGTAGCCGTACTGATCATCTACCGGAAAAGCAACAAAAAGCAATTTTAACATATCTTTTGTGCATTTTCTTATACCTTTAAAGCAAACAGTAAATATGGCTCTCTCGAGTTTCGCGCTGTTTGACAATATCCAACTGCAACCAGAAGATACCGGAAGTTGGTTATGAGAAGGATGTGGTTGCAGGGTAGTGCCTGATTAAAAACAATAAAAGTATATATAAAGTAAATAAATAAGTTAATAAATGAATATATATCGTAGGATCGGTGTTCAAGATCTAAACAATTAGCCTTTTTATACAAAAACGAACATTTATGATGATTACGACATATTAATATGATTTTATGTAAAATAGTGTTTTAATCATATTTGTACATATTACGCACATTTGCCAGTTTTAGGAAATATTGTAGGAAGACACCAACATAGCAGGTTAAAAATGTATCATCTTTAATAAATCTGAGGGCTTTCTATTTACAGCAAAAACAGAAAGTTCAACGGCTAAAACTCAGCCACCCTCCTGAAGGACCCGAAAATGACGAAGAAGCCCGCCAATTTCCCCCACAAGTTGTCATATAATTTATGTGCCTTCATTCCTGTTAGATATTATATTTCATATACATTTTAAATTAATTCATGAATTTAATTTGTCTTTACTCACTTTTATTTTTTTTTACATTCAAGCACTTGTTTGTTGTTTGTATTTTTGAAAGGTATATTGCAATGTCTTTTAAAAATGTATCATGAATTTCAAATAGTTCAAACCCTGAGGCTTTGGAGAATTTTTTTTAGTTATTGGAGTTTGTGTTTGTCTTGTACAAATACAGTTGTGTTGTCGGCTAGTTCAATATATTAAATTCAACAAATGTATAACAAAGGCAAACATTTTTATTAGGAGCAGACATTTACATTTAACAATAACAAATGTCAAAATATACACAAACTGTAGGCAACGCCCTTGATACTAGGGGTCTGTGTGCCCCTGGTGGTGAATCAGTGTTTTAACAAAAACAGTTGGAAAATTATCAAAGAAAGGAAAACCAAAACACATTTGTGTGAATATACAACTTCCTGAATAAAAACTATTGTACAAACATAAACATATTTTAAAAATTTACCTATGTACAATAGTTACCCATTCTCATAAACAAAATGTATAAATAAATGCAAATAAACCTAACTGTTCTATATTTAAATCTATTTATAAAATTCAACGATGATGCTATGTTTTTCAACAGTTCACCCTTCTCCAAAGGTTGACCATCTACAATAAATTATTTGGAATCTCCCGATTCACATAAAATCCAAGTGAAACATATTTTACAAAAGTTTGTTCAATGAATCGATTTCTTCATGAACTATTAGTTGTTTTTTTCAAATCTTTTACCACATTTTGAGCAAATACAAGAAATTGCTTTTTATTATAAATTGTAAAAAACAACTAAATGGTTTCTCTCTGCTATGAATCTTTCCATGACACCTCAAATCTGCTGCTGATGTAAATATTTGACCACATTTAGTTTAAATAAATTAATTGACCCTGTGCATTCTCTCATGTTGTTTTAGTGTGCCTTTTAATATAAACGTTTTCCCACAATATATGCAACTGAAGGGTTCCTCTCCAGTATGATATCTTTCATGATCCCTGAGACGTGCAATGCGGGCATATTTTTTCCCACAGTAAGAACAACCAAATGGTTTCTCTCCTGTGTGAACACGCTCATGGGCTTTTAACGTACCCTTGGCAGCGAATGTTTTACCACACTGTGAGCAGCTGAATGGTTTCTCTCCTGTATGAATTCTCTCATGTCTCATCAGAGTTGTCCTACTGTCAAATTTTTTGTCACATAGTGAGCAATCAAAAACCTTCTCTCCTGTATGTGTTCGCTCAGATTTGTTCACTTTTCCTGTTTCAATCAATCTGTTTCCACCTTTAGTGGAACTAACTGTTTTCTCCTCACTGTGATTTCTCTCATGGTTCCTTAACTCTGTTTCCAATGTGAATCCTTTACCACACTCAGAGCAATTAAATGGTGTCTCTCCTGTATGAATTTCCTTAATCAATCTTTGTCCACATCCAGAAAAGCTCTCACGCATGTTCTCGTCAGTTTCCCAGAACACACATTTTGTGACTGTGAAAAGTTTACTTGCCACTTCACCGGTCTCTGTCCAGTCATCGTCATCACTGTCTTCGGTCGCACAAGAGTCTTCCGCATTATGCTCAGTCCCGGGTTTTACATGTTCACCAGTCAAACGACAGAGCAGTGAAGAGTCAGGTTTCTCTTCCTCGTCCTCCGTCTTCACTACAATGGTAAGATCGGTCTCCTCCTGTTTGATGCAAACTTCCTCCTCTTCATCTTTAATGATAGGACCGTGTGTCTGTCCCTTCTCCACACTGCGTCGACACGCCATCTGCATAGGTAGATAGATAATACATTGTTCATTGAAAGTATATTACAGTAAGTTAAAAAAAGCTCCAACCTTGTGATGTGTCATTTTTAGTTAATTGCGGGAGGACCACAGTGTAGTTGTACAAAACGACATACCCAATCAAACTGAGCCGAACGCAAATGATTTACACACCTACTCTTCCGCATTTATTTTTAGAGATGTACGGTGCATTCTGGCATTGGTGTTTTGAAAAGTCAGTGTGTGATAAAAACTACGGAAGGAGAGGGAGCTGTAATAACATAACTGGAAATTATCAACCACGAAAACCTCTCTTTAAATTCCAACTACATTGTTTACATAGGAAACATCATCCATTTTCTTTCTCAAACCAATCATTTTTGATGACGTATAACAACTCTATTAGTCCGAGAGGTTAAATTGTGAGGAAAGAATTATGGGTAAATATAATTTTGATGAAATGCAAATCTTATTTTGGAAATTAGATAGCCTAGTGTATTATTATTATTAATATTATTATTAGTTGTAATTAGATATATAAAATAAAATACTCTAAAATTCCCTAAAACTAAAATTCCCCTGACCTTAATTTTAAACATGTTTATGCTTCTCACTTGTTCGTTTTGGGTTTTTTTTTAATGTCCGAGCAAAGCGTAAGTGGTAATCTCTGGTCTAAAAGGAAACAACGTAAACGGTAAGCTTAGCCAGTAGATTTAGCTTTTATCAGCTTTGTTTAGGAGAAACTGACCTGTTGTGTGCAGCCTGGTTGTGGGCTGAATGGAGTCGCCTTTTTGCTCAGTGTTTTGCTGTTAACCACTCAAATCCGTCGTTGTCCTTCAGGTTTCCTGAAAAATAAAGGTTTTTGGGGTTTTTTCATTTGTAAGTTGTGTTCTTTATTCGCTAACTGTAGCTGTACTGATACGCTCATCCAGCGTTACTCGCAGAAAGCAACAAAAGGCAAATTTAACAAATATTTTGTGCATTTTCTTTTACCTTTGCAGCAAACAGCTGACACCGGAAGTGTGTTGTGAGCAGGATGTGGCTGCATGGTAATGCCTGAATAAAAAACAATAAAATAAAATGTAAAATAAATACAATTATGTATTTGTATGTGTGCATATATATTCAATATATGTATATGTATTGAATATATATATATCGGTGTTCACTTATAAGAGTTATACAATAAGGCTACTCATACAGCAGCGAACATTTATGACGATCTCGACACGTTAATGTAATTTTATGTAAATCAGTGTTTTATTCATATTTGTACATATCATACAAACGTCCTTGTTTTAGGAAATATTATATTAAGACACCAACATAATAGCTTCAAAATGTATCATCTTTATTAAATCAGAGGGCTTTGTACAGTATTTACAACAAGAATTCTTCAACGGCTAAGACGTAGCCACCCCCTGAAGGACCCCAAAAATATCAAAAGGTAGCCCGCCAATCTTTTTTTTTCTCCTCAAAGTGCATTATTGAAAAGGCACAAAAATAAACGCCCTGTGTTTAATTTTTTACAAATATTGTATAAGTAGATGAATGTCAGATGAACAATTATCAGCATTAATGCAAATAACTCAAAATAACAGTACACAGTAATGCTGCGATGTAACAAGTACACAGCAGATTAAAGGTAATTTAAAATAAACAACAACATCGATACAAAAGTATTAATAAATAAAATTAATAAATAAATATTAATAAACAAGATAAACATTAATGTCAGATAAATAATATGGTGAAGTGGCACAACCTTTTCGGATTCCTACGTTAATGTTATAACTGGGAGTGATGCTACAAGGTATGACAGGGCAATTAAATATTGTCTAAAAGAACTAAATGTTCAAGAACTTTCTATATTCAATAATGTCCATTACCAGTCTTCTATTATTGTGGGTTGATGAATTGATGATTTGAGAATTCTCCACTTGTATTGATTTTATTCCTTGTGTTTCATGTAAATAAACTAGTAAAAAAAACTTGGTGTATTAAACTCAACAAAATCATTTTTTATTTAAACATTTTTATTATGAGCAGGCATTTACATATAACAATAACAAATGTCAAAATATACACAAACTGTAGGCAACGCCCTAGGTGAATCAGTGTTTAAACAAAAACAGTTGGATGAATAAAGGCGAGAAGACGGCATGTTGACAAGAATTTACAAAAATTATCAAAAGAGAAAAAACAAAACACATTGGTGTGAATATGAAACTTGTATAAAACATTTGTGCAAACAAGCATATTTTAAAAATTGACCTATGCACAATCATTACCTATTGTCATAAACAAAATGTATAAATAAATGCAACTAAACCCAACTGGTCTATATTTAAAAATATTTATAACATTCAGTGAGGACGTTATTTTTTTTTTTCAGTTCACACTTCTCAAACGTTTGACCGTCTACAATAATTTCCTGTCTTTTCAAGTATTGACTTTCACATATAAAATCCACGCAAAACACATTTTACAAAATTTTACTAAATTATTTGACTCTGTGGATTCTCTCATGCTGTTTTAGATTCCCTTTTAGTATAAACCTTTTCCCACAATATATGCAACCAAAGGGTTTCTCTCCAGTATGAACTCTTTCGTGATCCTTAAGACGTGTACTGCGGGCAAATTTCTTTCCACAGTAAGAACAACCAAATGGTTTCTCTCCTGTATGAACGCGCTCATGTGTTTTTAAGGAACCCTTCGCAGAAAATGTTTTACCACACTGTGAGCAGCTGAATGGTTTCTCTCCTGTATGAATTCTCTCATGTCTCATCAGAGTTGTTTTCCTGTCAAATTTTCTCTCACATAGAGAGCATTCAAATAACCTCCCTCCTGTATGTGTTCGCTCAGGTTTGTTCAGTCCTCCTGTTTCAGTCAAACTGTTTCCACATTTAGTGGAACTAACTGTTTTCTCCTCACTGTGATTTCTCTCATGTCTCCTTAGCTCTATTTCCAAGGTGAATCTTTTACCACACTCGGAGCAATTAAATGGTGTCTCTCCTGGTCCACATTCAGAAAAGTTCAGCTTCTCACGTATGGTTTCGTCAGTTTCCCAGAAGATACATTTCGTTACTGTGAAAAGTTTGCTTGTAACTTCACTGGTCTCTGTCCGTTCATCATCACTGTCTTCGGTCTCACAAGAGTCTTCTGCATTATCCTCAGTCTCCAGTTTTACATGTTCACCTGAACATTCAGTCAAACGATAAAGCAGTGAAGGGTCAGGTTTCTCTTCCTCGTCCTCGATCTTCACAGCTACAATGGAAAGATCGGTCTCCTCCTGTTTGATGCAAACTTCTTCCTCTTCATCTTTAATGATAGGACTGTGTGGCTCCTTTTTCTCTACACTGCGTCTGCACTCCATCTGCTTGGGGAGAATTTCCTCTCTTTGATAACTTGCAGCTCTGGGTGTTCTGCAAAAAAGGTTTAGAGAGTGTAGAAATGAGTGTGAAATAGTTTAAACCAACACTGTTAAAAAGTAATATACAGGGAAATGGTTGTGTTCTGGAATAAATTCACAAGGCATAAATGTTTCGAATATATATATATATAAGTGTCTGACAAATGAATAAGCAAATGAAGGTATACAAACGTAACATAATATGTCCATATGCATTTTATGTGCATATATATACACGCTGTATACTGTATATATACATATATTCACTTAATTTACATTGCGGCATTTATTTTGAAATTATTTGTAATATACTGGATTAATTTTAAAAGTGACATATCTTGACTTGATTATTTTTAATAAATTATAGCCACAATTATTTAAATCTAATTCCTTTAATACGTGATTGATTCTGAAACAATGCGCGTATTCTACATAATGAATAACAAATGTGATATTGACATTTTTTCTTTTTATTATTTTTTCCTAAAATATCTGGGAACAACATACCGAGCGTCGTTCTGTACGTACGTACGCGGTGGCTCCACCATAATTTAACTGTTACATAAATCACAAATGACACACTTGGCACACTTATGGATGTACTGTAGTTTCGAGCTAACTCCGTAGCAACACTAGCTTTTGATTGTGAGCACTTCCGTTTCCGTTCTCCTCAAAGCGCATGCGCAGAAATCAGCAGGCATCGTTTTTCATCACTTTGATTTAGGAATATGAAATAACACACTGCCAGAAATGGTCTTCCATAATATCTGGGCATAAAATTAAACTATATCCCCCTGTCCATCGCCCCTTAGCCTTGCCTTGAAAATTATTTCCCAAGATATTAATTTTCAACATGTTTATGCTTCCGACGTGTTCATTTTTGTCCTCTCTACGGGCTAAGCGTAAACTGGCAATCCCGTAAACTTAGCTAGTAACATTGTTTTTATCGACGGGAGAAATTATGTGGGAGAAACTGACCTGTTGTGTGCAGCCTGGCTGTGGGCTGACAGCAGTAGCCTTTGGCCAGTGTTTTGCTGTCAACCATACATCGGTTGCTGTCCTCTGTCTGTTTCCTTAGACACAAAATATCTTCTCCTTCGTACGTTGGTTTCTTCTCGACTCTCCAGTCGTAGTTGTAGTCATCCGTTCAACTATCGTCATTCGCAGAAAACAAAAATCTATTGAATTGTCCCAATACCTTTGTAGCAAACAACAAAGATGACTCTCACTGGTTTCGCGCTATTAGCCAATATCCAAAAGCTAACCAGGACACCGGAAGTTGTTTATTTGAAGGATGTGGTTGCAGGGTAATGCCTGATGTAAATAAAATACAAACATACATACATACGTGCGTACGTACATATATATAGATATACATATTTCTTTCTATGTATACATATATATTACCAATGTACCATGTATGTATTATAAACAAATATATGCAAATAAACCTAGATGTTCTATATTTAAAGACATTCAATTAGGATGTTACTTTTATCTACAGAGGCATCTGCAGGCTGTTTTTGCAACAAAATGAGGTACTACTAAATAATATTTTTTTGATATACAGTGGTGGGCAAAAGCTTGGCCACTACTGGTCGAAATGTCTGTTATTGTGAACAATTAAGCAAGTGGAAGATGAAATGATCTCCAACCGGGAATCAAGCTATGGATGACACACTCCCTCTACGTGTTAAAGAAAATCAGGTTTTATTTTCATCTTTGACATTTTTTCAAAATAACAGAAAAGAGAAAAGGGCCACATCAAAAGTTTGGGCACCCTGCATAGTTAATACCTAGTAGCCCCCAAGCTGTGATACTTGCTAAAGGGGTGCAAGACCTTAATTGGACTGATAGGGAGCTGCGAGTTGCCGACCCTTGGCCTAAGGGAGGGCCCAAACTTTTCTATACCACTGTAATGTAAATGTTTTTCCACAGTGGAATAGAAAGTTTGCCATGTCTGATCAGATTGGTTTTTATTATAAATACTTCTTTCACAATATGCTTGTTTTTTATTGCAACCAAATCGCCTCTGACCTGCAAAAGTTTTCTGCTACGAATATTCCCATGGCTCCTCAAATTCCCAATTGACATAGATATTTTACCACATTTGGCACAACTAAATTATTTGACTCAGTGGATTTGCTCGTGTCTTTTAAGATTGCTTTTTGAAACAAATCTTTTTTCACAATAAAAGCAACCAAAGGGTTTCTCTCCTGTGTGGGTTTTTTGGTGACCCCAGAGATGTGCCCTCTGGGAGAATTTTTTCCCACAAATAGGACATGTATATGGTTTCTCTCCTGTGTGAACACGCTCATGTATGGTTAATACAGCCTTATTAGTAAATATCTTACCACACTCTGAGCAACGGAATGATTTATGGCTCGTATGAAATTTCTCACGACTCATCAGAGTGCCCTTCTTAATGATTCTTTTTTCCGTGTTATGATACGTAAGACACGGCAGATCTGGCTTGGAAATCCTTTGTCCACATTCGGGAAAGCTCAGCTTCTCACGCATGTTTTCTTCAGTTTCCCAGAACACACATTTCGTTACTGTGAAAGGTTTGTTTATAACTTCACTGGTCTCTGTCCGTTCATCATCACTGTCTTCGGTCTCACAAGAGTCTTCTGCATTATCCTCAGTCTCCGGTTTTACATGTTCACCTGAACATTCAGTCAAACGATAAAGCAGCGAAGAGTCAGGTTTCTCTTCCTCGTCCTCCGTCTTCACTGCAATGGAAAGATCGATCTCCTCCTGTTTGATGCAAACTTCTTCCTCTTCATCTTTAATGATAGGACTGTGTGGCTCCTTCTTTTCTACACTGCGTCTGCACTCCATCTGCTTAGGGAGAACCTCCTCTCTTTGATAACCTGCAGCTTTGGGTGTTCTGCAAAAACGGTTTAGAGAAAATAAGAAAAAACACACACATACTCACTATGATGTGTAAATTATTCACAGAGTCATGATCAGTTACCAATATTAAAACATAGTCTAAGCAATTCTTTAGAAGGATACATTTTCATAATTTTAGGGTTAGGTGAGGTTAGGTTAAGTGTGTTTCTTTCATTTTGGGGTTACAGGAAATGATAGGTACATAAGTTTACATTCGGTTTTCTTAGTTTATTCATTGTCAAATTCATTAACACCCAGTGACTCAAAGGTATTACTAATGATGTGTCCCAAAATTTATGCCCTTCAAATGACTGCAAAATAACTCCCACGTCACTGTTAATATAAACCTCACGGCAAACCATCTATTGGCACAATTGACAATTTACCATCACGTCCCGTGTTTTATGACGAGCACTTCCTGTCCCTCGTCCCTTAGCCTTGCCTTAAAAAATTGTTGCCCAATACATTCATTTTCAACATGTTTATGCTTCCGACGTGTTCATTTTTGTCCTCTCTACGGGCTAAACGTAACTGGCAATCCCGTAAGATTAACTATTAAAACTGTTTTTATCGACTTTATGTTTGGTAAAAAACTGACCTGTTGTGTGCAGCCTGGCTGTGGGCTGACAGCAGTAGCCTTTGGCCACTGTTTTGCTGTCAACCATACATCGGTTGCTGTCCTGTCAATTTCCTTAGACACAAAATATCTTCTCCTTCGTACGTTGGTTTCTTCTCGACTCTCCAGTCGTAGTTGTAGTCATCCGCTTGACTAATGTCACTCACAGAAAGCAAAAGGCTACTGAATTGTCCTAATACCTTTGTAGCAAACAACAACAATTACTCTCTCCGGTTTCGCGTTATTAGCCAATATCCAAAAGCTAACCAGAACCCCGGAAGTGACGCGGGGGGTCATTTATCAGGCACTTATGCATGATAAATGCCTGAATAAAAATTAAATAAAAAAATAAAAAAACATACATACGTGTATATTTCTATGTATTTATACATATATATTAACAATGTATCATGTATGTATTTTGAATATATCATGAACGAATATATGCAAATAAACCAAACTGTTCTATATTTTAATCATATTATTCATAGTAACCAGATAAATACTACGGATTCAAACATTTCCCAGGTAATGACAGGACAAAATTACACATTTCCATGTCACTATTTTTTAAAAATAATGTAGAAAGACACCAACATGGCGGGTTAAAAATGTAACATCTTTAATAAAACAGAGGGCTTTCTATTTACAGCAAGAATTCTTCAGTAGCTCAAAACTCAGTCACCCTTCTGAAGGAGCCGACAATGGCGCAGGTAGCACACCAGTCCCGATACTTCCGGTACTCCCCGGGTCTAAGGAAGTACTGTCGCCCCCTGTAGTTGGGATACTCATAAAAGACGAAGTAGCCGTTCATGACGTTACACGAGTAGACATGGCGGTGGTGGAAACGGTCGGACACGCAGGGACAGTCGTCCATGAATTCCATCATGTTCCCGCTAAAGTCAGGCTTCTCGTAGATACGCAGTCTGTACGAGCCTCGGTACTGTGGAGCGAAATGGACAAAATCAATTTCCAATGGAAAAAATAATTAAATATAGAATAATTTAAAGGGATACTAAAGGAATTTAAAAACTGTTTTACTAAAATGAATACATTTATATTACACAATTTAACACATTAGTACATAAACGTATACTTTACTTGATTAGTTAAGATGAATGGAAATTTTATAGATGAATGGAAAGTATATAAAATATATATACAGATACATTTATGTCCCTGTTTTTAAATTTCTATTTCTATTCCAAAGTCACTCACTGCTGGAATCATGCGACAGGAGCGGATACAGGTGCTGAAGCCCATCCACCTCTGATAGTCCGGGTACTCTCCCTTCTTCATGAAGTATTGGTGGCCCATGTAGTTGGGTCGCTCGTAGATCATGAAGCAGCCATTGTCCACCCTGATGGAGTTGCAGCGGCTGAAGTAGGAGTGAAGGTCCGTGCAGTCGTTGCTGCACTCGTAGCTGCGACCCTGGAAGTTTTTGTCCTCGTAGAAGATGATCTGGAATCAGAAAATGTCACACACTCACGTGATTATCGGTTAAGCTGAGCTAAGCGTGTGATGTACATGTCGACTTAAAAAAAAAAAAAAAAAAAAAAAAAGGAAAATGACATTTTAACACCAAACAGAGCACTTTACCTTCCCCATGTTCTCCACTGGAGAGACCCCCCATGTTTTCCAGGCTTTTTATATCATCTCTTCTCAAACAACAAGTATTGTTATTTAAAACCCCTCGGTAACAGCCGAACGCTACTGTCACATGATTGACTTTTTGGTGGAGCACTGAAGTGAAAAGTATGGATTTGTAAATGAGCCCAGAAAACAGCGTGTGGTGAATTATATCAATGAGCGGTTTGTTGTTTTAACTCGACACAGGAAAAGACTAGTATGGTGTCCACACGTCCACTGGACAATGGCCGCGGAACAATACTGAACTGGCCTCTAGTGCTACATATTTTTTTTGTACCAGCACAGTACCAACTGGATGGTATACAATTACATCCAACTCCAAAATTAGAACAATTTAGAACAATTTAAACAAGTCAGTTTCTTTTGACAGTGAATGCAGCGTTCTCTAGATCAGTGGGTTTTTAACCCCTTTGACCTTGAGGCCCAATTTTTGTAGTACAAAGTTATTAAATATTAATACTGTTGAGGTTTGATTGAAGCTCTCACTGTTTGATTTGTATTTATTAAGAAACCAAATCTACTACTTACAATTAAAAATAAGGAGCATAATTATTATATATATTCCGTATTCCATAAAGTTGGGATTGTACCTACGCAAAACGCAAAACTTGTATCTTTTCTTTTCTTCGATTTAAAAAACTTCTCCATATGTTTTGTTACATCTAGCCTAGAGGAGAAGACGGACTTCTTCTCTATATATTGGAGCTTGTTAATCGGGATTAATTGATCATGATTAGTCGATCATGATTAAACATGATAATTCTGATAAATAAGGATCTATATATATATGACAAAAATATGTGGTGCTGGAACAGAAAGACAAATAACAGCAGGTAGATGTTTGTGCTTGAGGTTTGTTTTTATTCGTGACTAATCTAAATGATTGTCCGAAAATATACCAATGTAAAAGTACAAATTTTGTTACATATAGTTGGTGGATTCAGAGTTTCTTTCAAAATTAAACCCTCGTTCTCAACAATGCTAATCAGGTCTTAAGCAATCTAGGTATGTAAAAAATATTTAAAAATGTAAAAATCTCATTAATCTGCAAATTAATTAAGACATCTCTAGTAACAATTTAAAACTTCCGGAAGTTCTGGAACCATCCTCCAAAAGCTCAGTAGTCAGCGATGCGTCTAACGGAGCTCACCCTGGCGCTCCTGCCCCCCCACTCCGTGAACCTCTTGTACTCCCCGGGCCTGATCAGGTGCATCCTGCCCCTGTAATGCGGATGCTCGTAAAAGAGCCAGTTGCCGCTGACGGCGTGGCAGGAGAAGATGTTGTTCAGGTGGAAACGCTCCATGACGCTGGGGCAGTCGTCCGTCAGGTCCATCATCAAGCCTCCGAATTCGGTTCGCTCGTACAGGCGGATATTGAAAGAGCCGGGGTCCTGGTTTGGACAGGGAACGACTGGGTCACGTTTTTTTTTTGGTACCAACGTAGTAATGAAACCATTGGTACATGTTGGATTTAGCCAGTAACTCACTTCAGGTATAAGGTAACAGGAGCTGACAGAGTCACTGACGCCCATCCAGTGGTGGAAGTCTGGATACTGCCCTCTCCTCAGGTAGTACTGATTACCACAGAAGTTCGGTTTCTCGTAGATCATGAAGCAGCCGCTCTCCACGCTGATGGAGTTGCAGCGACTGATGAGGCCGCTCAGGTCGGCACAGTCATCCGTGCACGTGTGCCGACGTCCAGAGAAGTTGTGGTCCTCGTAGAAGATAATCTGCAGTTAGAAAGAAAACTAGAATTTTCAAAATAAAACCTCTTTTAGACTTCTGTTAGTATCACAGTCGGAATGACCTGTTGTTTTGAAACATTTAAATGAAAAAGTAAAGTGATATGAATGAATTATTTTGGAATGAAGTACATTAGTAAAACTGAAGTACATTTTTTTACTGTGTCCCACTGCGGACCAGAACCAAATTTCCTACGTACCGGCACTGGCCCCCGAACCAGGGGTTGGGGGTATAGAACATCCCTTGTAGACCTGCAGCAAGTTTGTTGCCAAACCATAAAAACTGCATACTTCACTATACAACTAATGAAAAATACACAAGTTCTCATAGGATCTACTAAAGTTTCTGAATTCTGCATGCACGCTACTGCACGTCAATATTTCACATTCAAACAGCTGAAACACTACCTTCCCCATGATGGCCTCTGTTCCTGCCCCGGACACGTGTCCATGAATGAAGCTTTTCAAGACAGTCCCACCCGGTCCATATATATAAAGAATCTGGAGTGCAGACTCTGCACATACTGTATCATTGATATTTAAATTGCAGAGAAATAGTTAGGCTTTTGTGCGTTTTGCATTGTTCGGAGGATGCGGCGTGTTTGTGCAGGTGAGTCTAAGAATGGTATAGCTGCACTGAGAGTGTGGTGGGTTGTTTTTTTGTCACTTGTTTGAAAAACAATCCACACATAATACACAAAACATAATAACTGAAATAATAACTGATCCATTTTAACTAGCAGAAACAGAATATAAATCATTTATGATCTGAAGAGTGAACTGTTTTTTAAGGAGGTTACATAAATAGAGCCCTTTTTTTTACAATTGAATATTTTCAATAACCCTCCTAATGTCTGTGGTAACGACTAGTTCAATCAGATAGATAATTAATTGGGCTGAAAACTATTATTCATCTATTGCTCGTTAAAGCCTGAAAGGCAGAACAATTAAATCCTCTTCTGCTAGGTGGCAGCAGATGGCTATGAAAACTACAAAAAAAAAAAAAAAAAAAAACTGAATTAAAAATGATAAGGTACTTACTGCTAAATACTGGCCATAAATATCAGCAAGTCAGTAAAAAGTGATATTTATTATTTAATTACATATACTTTTTGTGTATTGTGAGAGGATTTTATTTAACTACATATACTTTTTGTGTATTGTGAGAGTTTTGTTTGGTGTTGTGCCGTGAGGTTTTTCCTGGTGATAAATATGTGCCCTGCCTCAGAAAAGGTTGCAGTACTTCTCAAATACTGGGGTGGGCCCAGTGGGTGTGAGGGGCTTCCAATGGAATATGGCACGCTGGACATAAGTGTTCCACTGCTGTAATGCTTGAGTGATAACAAGCCTCCAGTCACTAGGTGGCAGCACCTCATACAGTGGTTTGTACAGATAAAAAATATACATGTTATCAGGTTCTCAATAGTGTTTCAATTCGCGGGGGTGTAGGTCGGGGGAAACCAAACCAAAGAATTCTAAAAGGAACCCTGAAAGTCCCAGAGAGAAAGAAGAAATCTAATAACACTCGATCACAGATGCCATTTTATTCAGGGTGTGAAACAAGGCGAAGAGCAAACACTTTACTAGAACCATCCTTCCATCTTTAGAGATCCATGAGTCGCTTGATGGAAGCTATTCTGGAGCTGCCGCCACTCCAGTCACCGAAGCTCCTGTACTGACCGGGCCTCAGGTAGTAGTGGCGCCCCCTGTAGTGAGGCTGCTCATACAGGAGCCAGTGGCCGTCCATCACGTTGCAGGAGTTGAAGTTTGTCATCCGGAAACGCTCCGTGACGTTGGGGCAGTCGTCTGTCAGCTCCATCATCTCGCCTCTCATGTCGGTGTGTTCGTACAGCTTCATCCTGAAACCGCCGCGGTGCTTCGGACCAAACGTAACATTTAAAGATAATCATTGTGATCCAAACATGCCAGATAACAAGAGGCTAACAATAGGACAAAAGTAGACGTAGCATTAACGAAGCTGTTTCAAGCCACGTTGAGCTACGTTAGCAGCCCTACAGCAGCAGTAAATTTTGGCTAATTTTTAAAAATTTTTTTTTGGTGCACAGGAACTAATTTCCAGGCACCAAGAACTTTATTTTGAAAGAGGGAACCTGTGACTGTTTGAAGTTATTTTGTGTTTACTTTTTGTATATGCTGTATCAGAATTCAAAACATCGCAATCGGGGCATCTCTGGTACTAAAGCTAGCCTTTCTTAACATCTAACACAGGCGTGGGTAAACTACGGCCCGGGGGCCGGATGTGGCCCGCTTGGCTTTTTAAACTTGTCTAAATTATGTTATTGATTTCTATCATTATACTTCTGCCTTGTCCATGCAGTACCTGCATTTCCCCAATAGATGGTGTAGAAAAGGCTAAAAGCATTTTAGCATTTTAGCGCTTATGCATGACTTTTACATGTCATTTGTCTTAATTCACACAAATGCTTTATCCATCTGCTCCTGACCCGGCCCCCGTGTCAAATGTTAGGACCCATTGTGTCCCGCGGGTCAAAGGTTTACACACCTGGTCTAACATGTAATTCTAGTTTGTCTAATTAATTTGACTACAAATCGGATAATACATTTGTTTCACACTAAGTCATTGATTCTAAAAATCTAAAATATTAAAAATCACATTTAGTATGATATTGTATTATGTAAAAGGGCCTCACCATGGGGATCAACCGACAGGACCTGACACAGTCGCTCATACCAGCCAGGTTCAGGTAGTCTGAGTACTCGCCCCTCTTCATGAAGAACTGGTTCCCGGTGAAACCAGGACGGTCATAGACCATGAACATGCCGCTCTCCACCTTGATGGAGCGGCAGCGGTCGAACACGGAGTGGAGGTCGGAGCAGTCGCCGGTGCACTCATAGTGACGGCCCTGGAAGTTCCTGTCCTCGTAGAAGATGATCTGAGGGAAAGAAGAAAAAAAAAAACACACACACATGTAATTTTCATGTTTCAAATAATGACGACTGACAGCTGTGATGTCGACGCGAACCTTTCCCATCATGGCTGCTGTAGTCCGCGGATCAGCTCCCTCTGTTCTCCACCACCAAAGGTGAGGTGGGCCTTTATACTCAGGCTAATCCATGTGTTGTTCTCTGACTGAAGTCTGGCGTCAGCAGAGATTCTTCAGGAGACCACGGGTCCAGAAACCACCGCAGCATAGAGAGCAGCTGGAAAAGTCCTTTTGAAAGGCATTGATCGATGACTGTCTAAAAAAAAAAAAATTATATATATATACATTGATATTAATACACTTCCTTGTAAACGTATGCAGCATCACAATTCACTTCAAACTGGTCATTTAAGTAACTGTGAGATTCCTCAATTTTTAAGTTCACTAGTGACAGGTTTGAGTATAAAGAACATAAAAGGCACCACAACAAGTCACATTGGTTAGAAAGAGTTTGCTGAATTGTCCAATATATAAAAGGCACCACAAAGAGTCGCTAGAAAGAGTTTGCTGAATTGTCCAATAACAGTTTATCTTTCTTGTCATCTAGTGCAGGGTCCCCAACCCCCCGTGCGGGGACCGGAGCCGGTCCGTAGGTCATTTGGTACTGTGGGACACAGTAAAAAAAATGTACTTCAGTTTTACTAATTTACTTCATTCCAAAAGAATCCAGAATAAAGACTAAAAGATGTTTTATTTTGAAAATCTAGTGATCCTTCAATGATGGTGCAGTGTTACTGGTCCGCATTAACGGCTGATACGGGCGACTGGTACAAAACAGATTAGGGACCTCAGGTCTAGATCTTTCAGAGTCTCTGTATTTGTATGTGGCCAAGGATGGAAACTGCTGCTAAATGTGAATAATTTGCATAAGAAATGAGGGTTTGTGTTTGTTTACTCTTGCTGCAGTCCAGATCTGTCTTCTATTTAAAGTGTTTGGACCATCACGAAGAGGAGAACCAGATGATTGTAACTCGCAAGTTTCAAGAAACTGTGGAAGTTTTTGAAATTCTCAAAAGTATTAAGAAAGAAGGAGACGTGACACAAAAAACTACAGGGGCCTAAACCGTCATCCAGGCTTCAGGACTCGCGAAGTTGTGACACAGTCCAGGTCCTGGTCCTTTCAATTTCAAAATCATAAATCGCTGGTGTCAATTTTACAATAATCCCACAAAGGCTCAGAGAACAGAATCAATAATGAATCTATTTATTAGCCCTTTTTAAATAATATCATCGTGGTTTTTTTTTTCTTCAGAAATTCTCCACTCTTTTGAACTTTTTCACGATGATGGAAAAAAAAACAATTAAAACTCTGTGACTCTGCGGAATGATCCATTGATGGCGCTGTTGGACCCCCAGTCGCTGAACTTCCGGTACTCTCCGGGCCTCATGAAGAACTGCTGGCCTCGGTATCCGGGCTGGTCATACATGGTCCAGAATCCTTCCACCACGTTGCAGGAGTAGATGTCGCGGCAGCGGAAGTGATCCTGCACCGACTCGCAGTCTTCACTGAACTCCATCATGTGACCCTGGAGGTTGGGTCGGTCGTAGATGCGAATGCGGTGGGGCCCCCCAGTGGTCTGGAGGAGTGTGAGAATTTTACAGGGAAGAAAGAAAATCAACAAAAATACTTTTTTTTTTTGGCCAAATATTTTTTTTAACACGCACAAAAAAAAACAGACTTTTCACTATTTCCTGTTTCTCGGCTATCTACCTCAGATATTTCCAACCCTGATAACACTTTGATTGGACAGATTGTATCGCCGATTCTGCTTCAAGGTTTTTTTTGCAAATATCAACTATTCAAAAACTTTATATCTAAGTCTAACATGTCCTTTAGAGGAGCTTCTCTATGTTGACAACACGGATGGACAAAATCCACATGTACTTACATAGGAGAAGGTTTTACAGACAAAATCCACATGTACATGTACTTACATAGGAGAAGGTTTTACAGGAGCCAATGGTGTCACTGAAGCCCATCCAGTGCTGGTAGTTGGGGTACTCTCCCCGGGTCAGGACGTACTGGTGACCAGTGAAGTTGGGCTTCTCGTACAGAACCCAGCAGCCACTCTCCACCTTGATGGAGTTGCAGCGGCTGAAGTGAGGCTGAGTGTCGGGGCAGTCGCTGTCGCGCTCGAAAGCGCGGCCCTGGAAGTCTCTTTCCTCGTAGAAGATGATCTACAAAGAGGGTTCACTTCGTTAGAATCGCTGTTAATCGTCAGAATTTTTAAAAAGTGGAGAAAGATTTTTTGTTTTGTTTTACCTTACTGCTCATCCTGAACAGAGTTCTGGACCCGGTCACCTAGTGAAGCTGGTGGTCTCACAGAGCAGAACAGCAGGACGCCAGCTTTATAAACCTCTGTCAAAGGTCCCTCCGGGCCAACATTAGCTGTTGGTTCAATGAGCGGGGATTTAAAAGACCGGCGTTTGCTGCCAAGATTCTTGATCCAACAACAGAGCGAAAAGCCGTGAATCATCACTGCAATTTAGAAGTCTGACCGGGCAAATTTCTGACCCGCTGTGACCTCTTTATTTATTGACAATGTTTTATTCACTAATCCAGCCTGGAGTGGATCAAGGTTTATACATAGAGATACAGTAGTCATCACAAAACAGCTAAACTTTTAAATGGGGGAGAAATTTGAAAGAGAAAAAAAAAAAAAAAACTGAAACAGAAGAAAAGAAAGTAAATGAGCTGTTTATTGAAAAAAAAAAGATGAAATAATTTATCTGAAATGGCGGAGGTCGACGTCAGTCCTGTAGAGACTCCTTCGATCCTTCATAGTTCTGAGCTCCTTCCTCCTGTTCGTTACTGCTGTCCTGAGGGCAGGAAAAGGTTGGTTTTTGGTTCAATTCAACTTTAGCTGTTGTACTTTATTTTTTACATCTTAAAGTAATGATTCAGTAATAGTAAAATCGATAAATAGTTCGTATTAGGTGTGTAATTATAAAGTGTTTCTACATGAGGCCTAAATAATAACACAATACTGTGAGAATTCTCTGGTAATTTGATGTAACTTTTCATGTTGGTGTCATTTGTTTTTCACTGGATAACATCTCTGACCTTTTAGAACATGGTTTTTTTTTTCATGTGTCTCCGTGGAAACTCACACTGAGGAAAGATTGAGACGAGGACGAGGGGAGTGATGAAGGTTGTCGTGGAATAAAATGTGGGGGAGCGCTGGACTTCGCCCGCTCTGACAACCATCTTCTCAACTTCTGACCTTAATAAACACAAAACAATTCTAGCATGAATGTTAGAATTTACAATATACAAGCTTTATTTGTAAAACTATATATTAGGAAATGAGTGAAAAGATATGACAATGTAGTTTTGAGAAATATGCATCTCTCAAGGTTGAAAATGTTTCCTAAAATCTCAACTCCAAACACTTATTAAATGAATTAACAGGGTTTAACCACTAGAGGACGCCCTTTAGCCCACAGACTCACTGTGTTGTTTGGAGTGTTCCACAGCCTTGTATGATCCGAGCATTGCAAACGGATGGTAGGAGAGGGTGAAGGGATACACGATGGAGGCCTGGGGAATACATGATACATTTTTCAAAAGACTAGACGTTTGAATACATATTTAAAAAAATACAAAGTAAGACATTGAAGTAAAAATAGTACTGCCTAATACACAACAAACTAATCTAGACTCAAGTATTTGGAAAGGCAGAAATGTAAGCTATGGTTTTGAATATGACAGATTAAATTGTTTTTATCGCTCAATAGTGACATCTGCCGGCTGCTACTATTATTTCAATCAATCTGGTAATGTGAAGGTTTCTTTGATCCATACAGTACATCCATATAGAAACAGTGAAACAAATAAATTAATTATCATAAAATAAAGTAGTATTATTACTTAAATTTTAGGTATATTTTGAGTTACAAGTTTGAAGTAAAACGCGACAGAGTGATGGCGGTTGTACCTTGGTCTGGTAGTTGGGAAATGAAGCTGCGGGTTTGCACTGGTACAGAGTCAAAATCTCCTCCACTGGAAGACTGTCCTACATCCCAGACACGTTCAAAAGATAAGAAAGGTAGTACACGGGAATAATTTAAGTATTTGATTGTACTATTCAGAGTAGAAAAATAATTCAGCATTGTGTTTACTGTGATGACAATTTTCCTACAATTAAATTGCAAAACAATATGTATATATCATTGTATCGTATAGTATTGCAATATATCACAATATATTGTATGGTTGCCTCTGTATTGTAATACATCATATTGCCAGGTTCTTGCCAATACATGCCTCTTATATATATGTACTGTTTAGAATGTGTGCGCATATATACGTATATTCATATACTTATGTGTACATACATACACATTGGTTATATACACATACATACATGTGCACATATATACAAATATATACATCTCCATGCATAACAAAATGGCATCCTTGAAACCACAGTGGCTCTTGTTACCATAATAATTCCAGCGAAGGCCGACAGGATCATGGCCTCGCGCTCTAATCGATCTGGATAACGGGATCCTCCTAAACTGCGAGATGGTCTGTTGTACGGGGAGAAAAACAAAGAGAAACTAAAACACTGTATCTAACACAAATAGTCATGTGACACGTACGTAGATGTGTTGTTTTTTTGTTTTTGTTTTCCTTCCAAATGCAGTTTGGATACTGTTCCAAAAGGCTTGTACAGAGCAGACAAGACAAAAAATTGCTCACACGATGTGGTTGTCCAGAACATGGCGTCCCTCTTCTCTGTCCAACCACCACAGGGCAACGCTGATGGCAAGATCATAATGAGCCTGAAACGTTTCCAAGCACACAATCACTGAAGCCGCATGTACACCAGATGTCAGCCATTCACGTCGCTCCAGTTGGGATATTTTTACCAAATCGTCCAGCACCGTCGACGTTCCCTTTCCCTTTGGATCGAACGCATTTTCTCGGAGTTTCTGACCGATGTAATCACCACTGTTCAAGAGCAGGGAGAAATTATTTACTATAGTTGGACCTACAGTATAGTTGGTTGTGACTGTTTTTTTTTAATGTCCACTTACATTAGAGCTTCAACATCTCTCTTCAGCTTCTTTGAGCCCATTTTTTCATCAGCGGACTGTAACAGTCACAGAATTTAAAGAAACTCTCTTAAGGTCAGACTCTCTATCTAAAATACCGGAGGGATGATGAGTAAAACCAGGCAACGGAAAAGTATAACAATTAACATTTTCCAATAGAAACTACATTAGCCACTTTTTACACCTAAGCTCCTTAAAGATAACTTGACATTTTCTTTTTTTCTTCAGGCAACTGACTGTATAACAATAATATTTTTTGGTTTCAAAAACATATTTAAACACAGGGTTACCATTGAACTGTCTGTTAAACAGACAGGGTTTAGTGCTTGGCTGCAGTGCTGTTGCCAGGCAATGAACATGATACTAACACAAAGAAATATATTCCTTGAAAATCAGACTCAGAAGTGAATCAAAATATTTCGGTCTGAACCCTTTAATTGATAAAAAAAAAAAAAAAAATTAAAAACAATAATTTTAAAAGAATTCAGACAGAGGCGTATCAGTACTCACCACACAGTCTTGTAGATGAAAACTTTACACAACGCTTCTTAAATCCCAGCCAAGTGTGCAGTCTTTCAGCGGCTGGCTGTGCCAACTGACCTTTCTGAGGAACATGAACCTTTTTACAGCGTGCTGTCTGCACTGAATCATTTATGACCAACCTGCCACCGCTCTCCCAGAGCCACCATCAGCAGTGGACTCGCAGATTAACACAGATCGGGTTTACCGTTACCATTTGTCATGTGATGATGCAGGGTTTGAAGATTAATATCACATATGAATAAATCAGAGAAAATTATTATTTGTCCACAGTAAATGTGCCCGACATCTCTTTAGATGCATTCTTGTGTTTCTTCTTCTTGTTTTTAAACACTGGTGAGCTCAGGAACTTTGTGTCTGTAAATTTGTCTCCTCGTCTGATTTTGCTGTTTTGGTGAGAAAAAAAAAAAAGAGAAAGAGAGAAAAGTTGAATTAATACTCACAGCAGTTTCCTTTTTTTTTTTTTTTTTTCTTTTTATTGGCCAGATTTTTTAGTAATAAGTTCAGTTGTTTTAATTATTTATTTTGAATATATTTTCAATTAATAATTTATTTGTTGGCTATAAATAAAATTAAAAAATATTAATAAAATAAATACAAATAAAATACAAATAAAATAAACTTTGTTTGTGGATTCTATCTATTTTACGGTTTTATTTTTGGTTTTTTAAAAATCTTGCTGTATCCAGGTAAATCACAAGTTGAATGAGACAAATTTATGACACAAAATCAACCTTTCAAGACAACTTTTAGTTGACATTTAAATAACCTCAAATTACATGACAAGTTCAAAAGCCCTCTGAGACTGCTGAATAATGTGTTTACATTGACCAACAAATTAATTTGAGTGGTTTTAGCCTAATAAACAGTTATTCACTCAATGAGATTTTTTTTTCAGTACCAAGGCCATTACATTACAATTAGCAGATGCTTTTATCCCAAAGCGGCTGAGAAGCCTGTCAGTCATGTGATTCTCATGAAAAAGATTTGGTCTGTGTGACAAAAAGAGAAGAGACTAACTTTCAGACGGGATCAAATTCCAGTGTTGTCATTTTTCATGATTTGTGATTAAAAAATTTTAAACGTCAGTCTCAACAAACTTCTATTGTTCTGCTTTTTGAAATTTGTAGCTTAATTCCCAAGCATAATTTGTCCATATCAAAAACCAACATCTTAAAATGAGTTTCAATTCAAAGAGAATTTAAGTGTTACATTAAATCCTGTTGCAGTTGCTGATTGGCTCAATCGTGGGAAGTTCATTTTGTCCAAATATGAATTATGCTCTTCACACAAAGGTTAAATCAAATCGAACAAAAACTTAGATTATATCGCAAAGATTTGATGCATTCACATTTGACAAGAAGAATTTTTAAAAAAAGACGCAAGAGGAGAAGAAACATACCTGGTGAAGTTTCAACTGAAATAACTGACTTCTCAGTGACTGACGCTGGTCTTCCAGGACTGTTCAGGAAAGACTGCATCTCCGTGTCTGCGATACTGTGATCCAGGCTGGACCATGGAGGCATCTCCTCTGTAAGCATGTCAGTAAAACCATGACCATCTTTCTGTCCACCTGTGTCTGCTGAAGGACTGTTGACGTCCAACAGATCAGACGTCCTCGTGTTGTTCAGCGAAACCTTCTCTTGAGTTGTACGTCTGATGATAAATGTCTTCCTCGGGGACCTGCGCTCCGGAGGTGCGCGCAGCTCGGATTTGTTTCGACGGTCTTTTGGTTTTGACTTTGACTTTTTGGACTTTGAACTGCAGATCTGTTCGAAGATGTCGCCATCTTCGGTCTTTTCACAATATGAGCTTTCAGATATGTGGACATCTCCTGTTGGGTCTTGATCTCCTTCCCAGTCATTGACGTCAAAACCAGGCCACACATCTGTCGCTTTCTGATTCTCTGCAGATTCAAGTCCTTTGTTACTTTTATTGTTTGCATTATCTCCATCATTTAAAAATGCATCCCTGTCTTTCTTGTGTGTCCTTCTCTTTTTAACAGGCCTCCCGCCCTCTTCCTTCCTGGCTTTTTTAGGTTTCTTAAACTTTGGGCCTGTGATTTCATCTCGGTCCTGGAGCAGAATTTCAGGTTGATTTTCGCTACTCATGTTCTCCTGAGAACTCTCGATATCTTGAGTGGAGAACCAGCGTCTTTTGCAAGAGTTCTGAGGAGAATCTGGATACTGGGGATCAAGAACTTGGGCTGTGTTTGCCAATGGTGCCTGTGTCTTATTGTCAGGGGAACTTGGAGGCAGTGTCAGTTTTCCCTGCTTTTCAACACATGCTTGAGGGGAGTCGAGGAAGGTAGAACCTGAAGTGACGGAGATAACAAATGTCCCTCTGCATCTTGGTTTATGACCACCTCCAGAATGAGGTGGAACCTTGGGTTTAAAGATACTCGGACAAACAGTTTTATCTGCAAGGAACACAAACTCTTCGGGTTGTTTTTGCTCTTCATACTCGGCCACGACGGCATCACCGCAGAGCTGTTCCTGTTCTGACTGACTGCTTTCTTTAGGAGTAGTCAGTGAAGACTGTCTTTTGGTCATGGACGTCACAGCCCGTCCTTTAGTTCTGGTCCTCCTGCATGTGATTTTGGACATGTCCTTTTCTGATGCTACTTGTACTTGGCTCACAGCGTTAAGGGCGTTTTCGGAATCCTTAAAATAATCCTCACAATTTATCGAAACCTCGCAGGACTTGGACTTTGTGTCGTGGACTACTACTTTTAACTTGTTCTTTGATGTTTTCTGACAGTTTTCCACAACAGCCTTGCCCAATTTAGGGATGCGGGAGTTATGATCACGACCAGATGCAGTTTTAAACAAGTCAGGTTTTTTAGTCTCTTGGTCTCTGTTATTCTCAGGCTCATTTGTGTGGGGGGTAGCAGAAGTCTTAATCTCATTCTTACTAGAAACTGTAGACCTTTTCACGTGTGGAACACCTGTCCGATGGGTGGAGTCTGCTTTATTGCTCGGAATTGTCACGCCCCCTGTGTTTTTCTTGGCTTTGGTTTCCACAATGATGACCTCATTATTATGGGTTTGTGTCATCTCCATTGTCGAGTCCAGAAGTAGCGTTTTATCGTTTTTATTTTTGGGACTTGGATTCGCTGTTGTAGCTAGATTCAGAGAAGCTCTAGATATGTCACATACATTAAGAAGTGCAGGATTAGTGTCGGATTCTGGCCGAGAGACGTTGGAGATGGTGGACTGACGGGAAGTTGCTGTCTGGGATTCTTCTGGACGCTGACCTGATTCCCTTTTATTTACTTTTGTTTCAATTGGGAAAAAAAAGTGGACAAATTAATATGTCTGTTTCAAAAACATTAAAACAAAATAAATAAATATAGATACTAAAAAATGTAAATCTATGGCTGCCTACATTGTTGTGCACCAGGTGACTTGGTGGTTATCTCTTGGAAGATGTCTCTCTCATTTCTGTTTTTTTCAGACAGGCGTGCGTTTAAATTTTGGGCGGAAACTACAAAATCGTTTCGGATTTCTGGCTGAGAAGGCAATGGATCTGTCACACTGGGAAGAGGAGTAAATAGGACATGGGAGTCAATCCAAAAAAGCATTTCAGTAAGTACATTCAAATGTTCTATTTTTCTCACCTGTCCACTGCAAGATTTTCTTTGTTGACGTTATTAAAAAGGCCCTTGTTTTCTTCAGGCTCTTGAAAAAGGTCCTTTGGGAGGTAAGAAATCATTTCTTAAGTAAATAAGCATGTTTTCAATACTTCTCATTTTTGTAATGAGCCTGGACAGACTTAGATATATAATTAGCAATCAAACTTGTCATTCCTCACCGTATCAGAGAAAAGATCTGTCACTGCTTCAAAGTGTTGCATAGTGTTTTTGTACAAGTTTTTCCAAATTAGGAGCTGTAAAAAAAACAACCAAAAAACTTTAGTCATTAGCATTCAATTACCTACGTATACAGAGTAATACTGACACTTTATTTTATTCTGATTCTTTTAATCAACCCTCAAGCATGTTAAATGCGTCTATGGTTAAAGAACCCACCATTTTTCGGTCCTTGTATTTCCTGTGTTAAAGAACACACCATTTTTCGGTCCTTGTATTTCCTGGTGGCCAACTCAAAGCACAGAGACTGTAACTGTTTATGCAGGCACATGACCTCGAGCTCCAGCTGCTGCCTCCGCTCTTTTTGAGCCTGCAGAGCAACAGCCAAGGCCTTGTTGTTGGTCTTTAAGGAGACCCTGAAGAATGATGAGGTGTCTGGTTTTGTGTTAAAAAGGAGAGACAAATTTAGAAGAATTACTTTACAGTTCATTTTTCTGGTCTGGCACTGATTTGGATTTCAGTTTAATTCTGTGACATTTTTCGACTTACTTAGCATCTTGTTCTTGACCTTTGATGCCGCAGCTGCAGAGCGCTTGGATCCTTTTAATGGTGCCATAGTGCTACCTTGTAGTGTAAGCATTTTCAGATGATGAAGATGAATAATTGGTGACCTGAAGAAGAAAAAAAAATCAATTGTATCTTCGTGAATTAGGTCAGAAACTAGAGCGGAATTCAAAATGATCACATTAGCTTCATTTATTTCTTCTTTTTTAATGAAAATTGCCAAAAACTTCTGTCAGCGTAACACTGCATCAATTCCAGTAAAATGATGCAGGCATAGGAAAGGACAGTGGGTTAATTTGAAATATTCTGAAGAATTGTTTTAGTGATGTAATGCACTTACAGCCTCTCTCCTCAACTCAGAAATACACAAAAACGAGTTGATCTGGTCTTGTTATTAGCAAAAGTATAATTTCCAAATACATAATACACAATTCTTAATTATAAGCCCTAATGGAAAAAGGAATGGTGAATAATGTACAATGTTTTTGCTAAAGTCTGCTAAAAAAACAAAACAATAAACGCTTCAATAACTACACTGAGCATGGTATACGGGTTTTTGGACCAATTTAACGATAATGAGACAACGGACGTTTATTAATAAAGTTTAAGCTGTCAGTTACTTGGAGTTAGCATTACCTGAATAGCAGTATATCCGTTGACTATAAGTTTGCTTCCATAGTTCAACAAACTCACCTAACTCAAGTTTTAAAAACAGACGATAGTTATAATCTTCAGCTTTCTTCCACGGCAAGCGTGACCGGTAAAATTAAAGTTCATAATACTTTCCCGCTCGTCAAATCTTCTATTTTTCAAAAACACAACGATGAAACCGCCGAGCGTCTGCGCATGTGCAGGGAGACCGTGTTTCCTGTTTTGCAGCAAAATGGTCAGGTTCCGCACATTGCTGCCTCACACTGGTGTGGAAGTATTTTGCACTTTTTCATCTTAAATAGCAGGGATATATCTTATTTGGGGAGTTTAATACGAAAGCATATGGTAAATTATTATTATTTCATAAAAAATAATTTGATTCCTGGACTATTATACCTTCTTAAATAGAAATGTTTTTCTCTATGACAACAACATGACAGCGATTCAATCTATTTTTCTGAGCTCCATTCACTCGCGTTCATCACAGCATAGTTGTGCGCATGCTTCGATCGGTCAGTTCTGCCTTGGGTTTTTAATGACTGTTTTTTGGGTGTTATGTGATTGTAAGTACATCGTTTCATTCGTCTGAGCTTGTAAATGTTTAGACAGTGATGCGAGGGCCACGCGATCATCAGGTAAACGAGAGCTTAACATTTGACATCTGTATATGTGTTTTGTTATATATAGCAGCCTGCCGGCTAAATGGCTTACACGGCTAAAGCAAACAGTCACTATACTGTACATAAGCTAAAGCTAATCGGCGTCCTGGAAAAATAACACGATTTACTTAATGTTTCTCTCGTTGACACAAGGTCTGTGTCAATTAGTTAATGGTGTCACAATTAACCAATAAAATAACAATTTTCAACAATCATCAAAATGTATTTCATTCAAATTAGACTTTTACAAACCGGTTTTGTGTCAAGAAACAAGCGGGGATTATGGAGTATTTTACCACTGGATAGAATAGACTCGCACACATTTATTAGTCTTCTGACCAGGATGAACCTGGATTGGACATAATAGTACATGATTGAATAACATAATATGAATGAATGAATAATAAGTGAAAACTTTTTTTTGTTATATGGTTCTTGTTTGATAACATGCCTTATTGGTATGTATTTTTACATATTTTATTCATGCGTAGGTTTATGTGAATTATGTGGTTTAGTGAAAACATCTTCTGATATCACCACAATAAATAGCTAAATGTTAAGGTCGTTTACTTGAATTGTACACCTCGTCTTTTTCATTACGGTGACCGAGATGCGTAAATTTGGCCTTGAAAACTAATTGACGTTAAAGTAACTAAGTATAAAACTAATGTAGACATTTTCCGAGTTGCTTCCAATGTGTGGTGAACTACGTTGTGTAGTATACAGGTGCATACATGTAGGAAGGAAGGAGAGCCTTACTTCCGTGTGCTGTCAAACCGGAGTCACGCAGTCACGTGGCATGCTGTTATGGTCACATGATGAGGTGGAGCTCACTACGCTTCAGCCTCTGCTGTTGCTGCTGTCGCCGTTCAATTCCCTCTTTTTCTTTTAAATAACATCGTGAAAATACCTTAAATCATTTACTGTGTGTCATCAGCAGGTACGTTTCCGCCAAGATTCATATTGAAGTATTTGTTATTAAAGTTATTGAATAAAAAGGGCCGATTTGAGCCGCGGTTTTATCAGATATGGAACGTGTCTTCTGGTTAAACACTTTCTCTTATATCTAACATATGGATTTCTTATACAAAGGTACAATCCAAAGGCCCGACTTGGACAGTTACTTTTTGCTAAAAAGCAACGTGATTAGACACGTGTCCTGTTAAGTCTTCATATGATCTGATCATCAGGTCAAAAAGTAGTTGTTGATCAAGGTGTCTGTGTTAAACGGTGTACTTCCTGAAAGTGGAATCTGTTTTTTAAAATTTATTATTAATAATTATTATAATTTCTGGTGATTTGCGTTAATGCAGCCATTTATCAACAATAATTCACTGTTAATAATAACATTATAAATTGAGCATTTCCCCCCCGGCTATCCTAGTTATCTGGCAAAGTCCAAAACGTATAGATAAAAAATTTAAAAAAAAAAAAATTTAAAAAAGGAAACAGTACGAGATGACTAAATAATGACTTTATATCACTCTCACATGTCCAGCTGAAGTAACAGCATCATGGCTGCTGATGACAAGTCGTCATTCGCATCCTCAACAGAGTGGAGCGCCGAGCTGCCCGCCGTCTCACCTACCAGCCCATCCCAGTTGACCCACTTCAAACCACTGACTCCAGAGCAGGATGAGCCGCCACTCCGGTCCGCGTACAGCTCCTTCGTCAGCCTGTTTCGTTTCAACAACAAAGGTAAGGACACATGCGTAAAGTATTTTATAAAATAAATAAATAAATGGTAAAAAACATTTGTTTGTGAGAATCACCGAAGCGGTTGATTAATTGTTACACGGCATAATTTCTGGACATTTTTTCAGAATTTTCAACTTCCTTTTTTAACCGCCTAGCTAATTTAAAACCCATTATCCCATTGTCAATAAGTGAAATTGCCAATTTGCATGGCTGTACCAGATCCTGTCCTATCACGTTTTTAAAAAGCTCATGGGTAATGTGATTACCAGGGCTGTCAAACTCATTTTAGTTCAGGGGCCTCGTTTTAGTTCACGGGCCACATACAGCCTAATTAGATGTCAAACAGGCCGACCTGTACACCATAACATAATAACCTAAAATAACAATAAGTCCATGTTTTTCTGCTTTGCTCTCATGCAAAAAATTCTAAGTTTATCAGAAAATCTTCATATTTAATGAAATATAATTTGACAAGTCATTACGAACATGAAGTGTTTGTGCATTTTTTCACTTTCAAAATTCATCTAGACGGCCAGTTTGAACCCCCCCAGTGGGCCGGTTTTAGCCCACGAGCTGTATGTTTGACAAACCTGCTTTTTATAGCTCTATTTAACTCGCACAAATAACACAAATACAGTTTCCGTGTCATAATTGCAAACATTACAACCTTATAAACATACAAGGGAAGTGACCTTTGACCTTTAAACTGAATGAAGCAGTTTTACCAATGCCAAAAAAAAGGGACACTATTCCTGTTAATGTTGTTTTGTGTCAACTCGGTCATTAAGTGTGGACGAAGGGCATGCGGTCTGAAGGAAGGAGGGCAAATTAGCCCTCGTCTTGTGAGGTCATGTGATGGATGTCTTCTAGAGAAGCAGTCGTTCCACATGACTCACACATTTATGGTCCTGCCTCTGAAGCTCTGCCCTCAGAGATCTAAACACTTACAGTTTACACGTCATGTAAAAGCCCCAGGTTTGTAGAAACTAGTTTGTCAGAAACGGGGGGTTCTCAGCCTGGGGGTCACTTCAGGCCTGTGACCCCCTACCCCCCACATCTGACACCAGGACAAGGTGTACTTTCAATTACAAATACAAATTCTTTAGTTAGTCATTACAGAATGAGAAATAAAATATTTTTTTACCAGCTGTTTATACTGTAGTATTATGTTATATTTATACTAAACAAAATCATTTTTAAAAAATATAGATGTCATCCTTAGCTCATTTGAGTTTGAGACCTTTACTTAAAAATTTAATTATTTTTAATCAGATTTTATCAATTACTAGACGTTTGAGGCGACCCCCAAGGTCAGGCGTGGTCAAACTTTGACTCGCGGGCCACAATTGGTCCTAAAATTGAACAGGGAGGGCCGGGTCAGGAGCAGATAGATGGAGCGTCGGTGTGAACTAAGATAAATGACATGTAAAAGTCATGCATAAAAATGTGACATTTTTCTAAGTTAGAGAGATTTTGTGGTGTTTACAAACCTGCTCAAAGTCATCCGGTGCTGGTGTGTGTGTGTGTGTGTGTGTGTGTTCAGAGGAGGGCCGTCCTTCCACACCAGTTTCAGCAGACACTCCTTCCCCGTCCCCTCAGTCGGATCGCAGGAGCTGGTCGTCCAGTCCTTCACTGTACAGCTCCAGATCACACAGGAAGCAGCACGCAGAACACCTCCGACGACCCTCCACTGCCTCAGGTAAACACACACACAGACACGTTAAAAGGTGTTTCGAAGCTAGGTTGGTCTTAACGCTGTATTCAAAATAGTCACAAAATACTTCAGTTCTGGTCGAACCACTATTTGACTGTTGCTTCGCAACGTATGTTGATTAAATTACCTGTAAGTTGATTGGCGAGCCTCTGTCTGTCAGGTTGAACAAACGAATCAGAGACCACTGATAACAACGTGGACACTGTCACGTCCAGCTGCTCTGACTTTTTTTTTTTTTTTTTCCTTCAAAAATAAGGAAAGGATAATTAGTGTCACAATACAAGATGGTATTTTAAACTTTATTTTCTTGGAACATGACATTGAGAATCTCTTGGATGTTAAGTGATTCACGTCTGTTTTCATGTTCTCTCCGACTCCAGTGGATTGGCCAGGTGAGTGGCCCCGTGCTCTTTGTTTTTAAAACTCACTCTGAACTACTGCTTTTTCACAAACAGTATTTACCTCGTGTCTGCTTTTATTTCCATATTTGCATTTTTGACTAAGTGGGGGGAAAATAATAATAATAATAATAATAATGTTTGCATTGATTTCCTTTGTCAAATCTAACAGTTTGCTGAACGCGTCTTCCTTTTAATTCCCCTCCTTTTTTCCCCCTACTTTTTTTTTATATTGCATCGTGTGTTTTTTCTAATATTTTTGTGAGATGAGGTGTGTTTGACGTGGACATGAGCTGCTAACGTCCCTTGACGAGATGGGTTTCACACCAAGATGTTGTTTAATAGGCAATAAATGTACGCTCTGTGTGTGTGTGTGGCACCAAAATTTCATGTAGACCTGTGAAATATGACCGTCACTATGTTGGTGTGAAATGTTTGCCACGCCACCATCGTCACAGATTGATGACTCTTGTGTTTTTTTTTTTTCTATTTATTTTCTACCCGAATTGAGCTACAGCAGTGGTTCTCCAACTTTTTCTACTCTGTACCACCTGAGAAAACATTGAGCTCTCTGAGTACCACCATGATGACCAACATTAGAATATAGCAGCACTGTTAGCTTCAACCACAGGAGAGATGTTTATAAAGATGTTTATGTTTAAATGTTGAATTAATTGTGCATGGTATGTTTCAGATTTATTCAATTGAAAATGTAAATGTGAAAATATGATTTTCCCCGTGTACTACCGTACCACCGGTGGTACACGTACCACAGTTTGAGAACCACTGAGCTCCAGTACACATTCCAAGTGGTTGCCAAGTGTCCTCTTTGTCTAAAAGGGCATGGACGTCTTTGATGGTCCCTTGAATCGAAAGTAATCTTGGACTTGCATGTAAGTCTCTTGTTGTCCTGCAACAGTTTTCCTTAGTGTCAATACATCAACAGTGGGTTCTCATCTCACGTCGGAATTCGGTGTAACGTAACTTGATTTTTGTCATAAGTCGGAATTCACATACTGTACATAGGGCAGAGTCTGACTTATGCCTGCGAGCCATAATGAAGGGCAAAAAGTTCCCGAAATTCCAACACAAACTGAAGAAAAGGGAATGGAGCGCAATCCAATGGACGGCGTACTACCGGCGATGTAAACAAAGCCATCGTCCACGTATTGTGGCGCTTGACGACGTAATCATCCGTTGCGCTCGCTAACCAGTTTCTGTGTCTCAGAATAGTTTCAACATCGTATGTCAGAATCACGGAACGAGACTTTTTAAATAAATCTATGGGAGATGGCGACGTAACCATGAAACGGCATACGAGGGCGTGGTAAACCAAGGAACCCTGTATTATGGTACAACAAACAAAATTTCAACTATAACCTGTACATTTTAATTGAGAGAAATTTAAATATTTTAAGGGGGAAAGGAGATAAAAAAAAAAAAAACGTTTTACCTTGGAACACTGAGATCCGTCTGTTGCTGTGGAACCTCTCTGCAGACCGTGACTACAAAAAAAAGAAAAGGTTACTAGAACAGCTGAATCTGATTGGTTAATTCTGAACACAGCCACAGCCCCCGTTATAAGAGGTCGTGAGAACATGTGTAACCACATCATCTCAGTGGTTTGTTTTTACTGAGCCTCTTTAAAAGATTATTGTAAAGTCTACAGGTCACCGTAAAGGTCGAAGTGATTGGTCTCTTTTTTATATATCGCAAAAACCTGGCATGGCAACCATGACATTATGAATCCAGTATATTTTCAACTTAGACAGTGAAGCATGATTATTAAACTGCTTGTGTGTGTGTGTGTGTGTGTGTTTTGATGGTAGAGAGCAGCAGAAAGAGCGATACTCCTCTCAGCAACCATGATCCTCGCACCGCTGTCCAACTCCGTACCGCACTGAAGAGACTGAAGGAGATCATGGAGGGGAAGAGTCAGGTACAGTGTTTACAAGCACTCATCTCGACTAAGCGGCATTTACATTCAGTAAGCCAGTGCCCCTTTAATACGATCAGTAAGCATTAGGGCCACATTGAGAATAAAAAAAAACATTCAGTAATCCAGTGCCCCTTTAATACAATCAGTAAGTATTAGAATAAAAAAATAAAATTACAAGATTAATGTCAAAATGTTCCGAGAATAAAATAATGTCAGTCTGAGCCCTTGTATAATCAGTGTAAATGGAACATTCCATGTGTCGTGTTGTGTTCAAGTGCTCTAAGAGAAACCTTGTTTTATACATACATAATGTTAATTTAATCGCAATGAAATTTGTCCTCTGCCTTTAAATTTAACTTGCGGGCCACAATTGTAAGATAAAATGATGTAAAAGTCATGCTTTTAGCTACGCCATCTATTGTGGACCAGGGCAGGAGCAGATAGATGGAGCGTTCGTGTGAACTAAGATGAATGACATGTAAATGTAAATGTCATGCTTTTAGCTACGCCATCTATTGGGGAAACCTGGGTATTGCATGGAAAAGGCAAAAGTATAACGATAATATAAATAAATTATATAATTTGGAAAAATTTGACGGCCGGATAAAAAAGCTGAACGGGCCACATCCGGCCCCCGGGCCTTAGTTTGCCCCTGCCTGGTTTAACCCATCACCTTAGTAAGTAGCTCAGCTTGAGCTGCTCAGAGAGAAATGTGGGGATGGTGCCTTGCTCAGTCGCGCCTGGTGGCTGGTGGATTCGAACCTGCAACCTTCGGCACCTGGTGGCTGGTGGAGTCGAACCTGCAACCTTCCGGAGACAAGTCCCCTTCCTTAACACTTCAGTGCGATCTGGGAGTCGTCTCATTAGTTCCCCGTCTGTAGTCCCTGTCGGTCAGAAGAGACTACCTCACTTAAAACGACAAAAACAGGAAGAACACTTGTTTATAAAAGTGAAGTAAAAGTGAAGTACCTGTCATTGTGACACAACACACCACTGCACCTCCCCGTCCAACAGTCCAAACTGTCCTTCCTTCGTTGGAACATTCGCTTGTTCGTGGCTGAGATTCATACGACTTGTTTCTCTCCAGGACAGCGACTTGAAGCAGTACTGGATGCCTGACAGCCAGTGCAAGGAGTGTTACGACTGCAACGAGAAGTTCACCACCTTCCGCCGACGCCACCACTGTCGACTCTGCGGTCAGATCTTCTGCAGTCGCTGCTGCAACCAGGAAATTCCCGGAAAGTCCATGGGCTACACCGGTGGGTGTCACCCAGATAACTTGAACCATTTCACCAAAAAGAAAAACCTCTAACCAGACTTCGCGTTTTTTTCTTCCCTCTGATGTGACCAGGTGATCTGCGAGCCTGTACGTACTGTCGAAAAATAGCACTGAGCTACACTCACTCCGCAGACTCCGGTTCCATCGGTGAGGACCTGAGAGCTCTGTCAGACTCTCCCTGCTCCGTGTGCGTGCTGGAGCCCAACGAACCGCGGACGCCTGTGGGAGGGCGCAAGGCCAACAGGAACATCTTCCTGGAGGAGGACCTAACCTGGCAGAGGTCGGTCAGTCAGTCTGTCTGAGTGTCTTAGTGTGTGTGTGTGTGCTTCTAAATCTCCTTTCTAAAGCTAGATATTTCCATTGTAAAAAAAAAAAAAAAAATGTCTTTTTAACTTTTTAACCTTTTTAACTGAAGTGTAGTAACATGAGAAACAAACTGCCCTCCATTTTCCAGTCATCCTAACCTTTGCTTGCATTTTCTCTGCAGCGGTTTCCAGCTGTTTGAGACTGCGTTAAAGTCCCTGTGTGAAACGCGACACAGCCGTGACGCTGTGGATGTTTCTCGAAAAGGACAGAATTGTGTCTAAATTCAGCATTTTATAACTTCATGTTTAAAAAAAAAAAAAAGAAAAGAAAAGCAGCGTGTTTCACTACAGTGTTGTGATCAGGGTTAAAAAAGTAAAACAAAGCATGTTTGTTGTAAAATCAACATAAATCCTTTGAGGTCATGCTTTGTTTACCCGCACGCTTGTTTTACTGCCGTGTCTGAGCTTTTTGTTTGCTCTCTTTTGCTCGTTGTCTCTGTCAACTTGTCTTAAAGAAACGTGTCTTTTCCTCTCTTTCTCTCTCCTGGCGTAGAAAAACTCCCATTGGGATGAGGAAGAAGTGAGTCTCTCGCTGTTTGTTATGTTTGACCTCTGTCTGAGCCTTTTAGTAGCTGGCTAAGGTAAAGGCTAATGCTTTCTGGGACTGTCGGGAAGTGGGAGCGGTCCTCTGCATGCTTGAATTCACAGTGGCTGTAGGCAGTGAGGAGATCAGGGCAGGAAGTGCACTTTCTTTCTCGTTTTCGTTTTCTTTTCTTAAACGTTTTGTCCATGTTTGTTAGTATGATTCACCAGGAGCCTCAGAGCAGTGGCCTCACGTCCAGACTGTCGACGCTACAGGAAGATGTTGGAAAATCTCAAGGGAGAAAAAGGTCAGACAGTACAGTGCAGATATTTCTAACAACTGGCTGTAGAGCAGGTTAATTAACCAATTCAGTTCAGTATCGGTCTGAAAAAGTGACAACTGAAATGTTAACAGTAACTGAGAACTGAATAATGTATCAAACGAGACTTCCTTGATTTGAAAAATTGGTTAACCAACTCTTTGTCCCAAACTTGAATAGTTTGGGACGTAGTTACCATATTATCCAGCAGGGAGCGCTATAAGCACCGCGTGACTTCTTGGTCATCAACACAACAAGTTACACAGGGATGTCCAATCATATCGGCCGACCAATATTACCAGTCCAATATTAGCATAATTCTGTAATATAGGTGAGAATCTTTATCAGTTTTTCTTCCGATATTGAAAACGCTATATCGCAATGCCTTTGTTTCGCTAATTTATGTGTGCCCTACAAAGAGTTCCATGCCTAGTTTAATGACTCAGTGCTCTGAAGAACTTTTAATTGAAACACACCTGCAGTAAAAGTGAAAAACCGTCTGTCCACTAGGGGGGGGCATGGCAGAGAATAACTCAGAAACACTGCTTTAACCCAACAAAAAGCTCAACAAAAATATCGGACATCCCTGGTGACACAATGTAGTTTTGCGGTTTAAATGCTAAACAGTCCTGGCAAATGGACATTTATATTACCGATATATAAAATTCTATGGGAATATGAACGTATTATTTCATTTTTTAAAGTCATCCTTTGAACTAACTATTCATTATTAGCTTCCAATCCAGTTCCATGTTTAAATGATCCCTGTTTTTTTTTTTCCATTCGCCCCAGATCGGCCAGTGTCACCAACTTGTCCCTGGACCGCTCCGGCTCTTCCATGGTGCCTTCGTATGACAGTTCTGTCAGTCCTCCAACCAGCAGATCCATGTCAGTCACCAAGAGCGGAACCAAACTGGACCACAGCGAGGAGGAGAGGAAGATTCTGCTGGTAGCCTTTTTTTTTTTTTTTTTTTAATATTTCCTATCTCTTTGTGTGGTTTAACCATCAACTTACATAATCGAGCTGTGAGACGGTGACTCTAACTCTCGCAGGACTCCTCCCAACTGAAAGAGTTATGGAAGAAAATTTGCCACAACAGCACAGGGATGGAGTTTCAGGACCACAGGTACTGGCTGAGGACATACCCCAACTGCATTGTGGGAAAGGAGCTTGTCAACTGGCTGCTAAGGAACGGCACGATCTCCACCAGGTAGAACTCTTTTTCTTATTATTTAGTATTTTTTATGTTGGCAAATCAAATGAAATTCGTCCCTTAGGAGAGGGAGGGGCTTGTAGCATTCAGCTCTCTGATTGGTCAGAGAACTTGCTTAATTCTTTTTCTTAAAATTTCAATGCAATGTAAAAAGAAAGTCTTTTTCACAGCTTTGAACATACTAATGAAAAAAAAATCATCTGTACTCACCTGTGAGAGACATGTTTTGAGTTCCTGAGACTCTTTCTTCTTCCAGGGCGCAGGCCATCGCCATTGGTCAGGCCCTTGTTGACGGCCGTTGGCTTGATTGTGTCACTCACCACGACCAGCTGTTCCGGGATGAGTACGCTCTCTACCGCCCCCTACAGGTGAGCTTCAGCTTTATATTCAATCCATCAAACACTGCGTAGCCACCTAAAAAAAAAAAAAAAAAGTCACTTTAAATGTATTTCCCATTATGCACTGCCTGGTAATTGCACGTGTCCTGCAACACATCATGTGCTGTCATTGATTGATTCAAGCGAGTCTGCTGTTCAGCTGCCTCAGTCGATTTTCCTCAGGCAGGTGAAATGTGCTGATGCCGATGTTTCTCTGTCCGCTCACTAGAGTACAGAGTTCTCGGAGACGCCGTCTCCAGATAGCGACAGCGTCAACTCCTTGGAGGGACATTCAGAACCGTCCTGGTTCAAAGACATCAAGTTTGATGACAGCGACACGGAGCAGCTGGCGGATGAGACGGACTACGGCACATCGAGTACGTACATGTAACTTCTGCTGTTCTCTGAGATAAAGTCCCACATGAGGTCTGTCTGTCTGTCTGTGTCGGAGGAAGTGAAGTAAACAGCTTAGCGATTGTTGTCCTCTATCCTGGAGCTGTGCAGCCGCCGGACAGTGAGAGAAGAGAACACAGAAAAGCTACGGTGGTTAAATGGACAACTGTCAATGTGGAATTTAATTTTGCGATTTATGAACATGAGACATGTTTTTTTTAAGGATATTAGCAGCCAGTAATACAACTGGAAAATGCATGAATATTATTAATCTAATAATCAGACATTTTCTCTAAAATGAGAGATTAAGAAGTGAAAATAAATACTGATTCACTGCCGTATGCTATAACTCACTGTTTCCCAAAGACTGGGTCGCAAGAGGGTTTTTTTTTGGGTCGTCTTGCATCATTTTTCCCAGGAGTTTACGAATAATGTCTATTGACTTGGGTCGCGATTGTTTGTGACTTTTTAAAATATAACTGGCATCAGAGCAAATGTTGAAACGTAGTGTGTTTAATGCAAACATGCAAAGAAGCCAATCAAAGTAACATGTTGTGGTTGTATGGGTTACATTCCTAGATTAACTGTGTCTGGTTATGTTAGATAGGAGATGATAGATGAAAAATAGTAGGATACAAATAGATGGAATAAAATGTCTTGATGGGACACCATTGATGGTAGGGTTTATGTAAAGGATAAAGCGTGGTTAACATTAATGGATCAGAAAGGACACTGGGGTTCAATAGGCCTTTCACACAGTCGCGCTGCAGTGGTTTAAGTCAAACTCCTGTCTGTCTGCCTAGACTCTGCCAGCCCCAGCAAGAGGACGTCCGTCAGCAGCTTCCAGTCGGTGGTGGACAGCGATTCAGCCGCGTCCATCAACCTTAACATGGAGCAAAACAACGTCAACTTCCACATCAAGAAACAGTCCACGTATCCACACGTGCCTCCCGCCACTGAGCAAAAAGGTAAACATGGTCTCGGAAGACGCCGTGCACTGTGCTTCAAACACCCAGCCCGTGGGCCACTTTTGGTCCAAAAACCCCACAAAATCTGGCCCACAACTAGATGTCAATAATGATTTAAATTTTTTTTTAGACATTTATTTTCAATTGCTTTGTTTGTTTTTGTACTTGTTTGAACTGTTGAATTATACAGTATTTTAACTTTTTCTAAAACATGAGTTCTCAAGTGCACACTAACAGATATTAACTGTCAATGTGAGCAAACAGAAAGTGGTTTGTTAATTTAATTGACGTAACTTCAGTAAATAAAAATTAAATTAAATAAAGCTTAAAGATGTAAGAGAACTGTATTTTACCCTTGTTATTTTCTTCTATTTTTTAGCTGAGATTCTTGTGTCTGAGGACGGAGGTCAGAATATCATCATAAGCGACGCCTTCATCAAAGGTAAAAAACATTTAGCTTTTGGCTATACAGTGAAAGAAATACGACGTTTACCTTGTTGCTAAAGGACTTCTTCCTCTTTTGGGTGTTACTATTTTTTTTTAGAGTCTTTGTTTAACCGACGTGTGGAAGAAAAGGCCAAAGAGATGCTGTTCACTCCTCTGGGTTGGCACCACAGCTCTTTGGACCAGCTGAGAGAGGAGAATGGAGAGAAGAAGGCCATGGAGAGACTGCTGTGAGTGTTCATCCAGCCAACCAAAACATTACAGTCTCAACTGGTGTCAATTAAAAAAAAATTACAAAAAAGTACAAAATTATGACAACTAAAAAAAAAGAGATACTTTGTTTCAAATCAATGCCAGAAAACCTTAAATATGATTGTACGTCCATCAGCTCTGCCAACCACAGCCACATGATGGCACTGCTGCAGCAGCTGCTCTACAGTGAGTCTCTGTCTCTGTCCTGGCGGGACATCATCGTGCCTGTGGTTCGACAGGTGGTTCAGACGGTGAGGCCTGACGTCCGCAACTGTGACGACGACATGGACATCAGACAGTTCGTCCACATTAAGAAGGTCTGACCGAGGATTCCGAAGAACCATTTTATTTAAAAAAAAAAATTCAGCCTGACGTCTTCGTGTTGTTCATAACCATTTGATGACGATTTTGTTTTAGCTTAACGCTCAATCTGTTCGTATAGATTCCAGGAGGCAGGAAGTTTGACTCCGTGGTGGTGAATGGGTTTGTGTGCACCAAAAACATTGCTCACAAGAAGGTAATGTCAAACTCAATTCAAAATATTATTGTACTGTTTTTAGACGATTCTACTTCTTATAATTACCTTTTCCTCACTGTCACTGTGTAAAGATGAACGCTCACATCAAGAACCCAAAGATCCTGCTGCTGAAGTGCTCCATAGAGTATTTGTACAGGGAGGAGACCAAGTTCACCAGCATTGATCCCATCGTGCTGCAGGTGAGGAGTAAAAAGCAAACAATGTTTTATTAACACTTTTTTTTTTCTTTTTTTCACCAATTCACAACATTTTTGTCTCTCTTCTACAGGAGCGGGAGTTTTTGAAGAACTACGTGCAGCGCATTGTTGACGTCCGTCCCAACCTGGTGTTGGTGGAAAAGACAGTGTCGCGTATCGCTCAGGACATGTTGCTGGAGCACGGCATCACTCTGGTCGTCAATGTCAAACCTGTAAATGTCCCCGTCTGGCTCTAAATCTTTATTGTTACGCACAACGGTTTAGTCTTCCTGAGTTTGAAGATTAAAACATGAGACACAAAAGTCATATTTTTTGTCAGCTGAGAAATCATTAATGTCATCAATGTCAACTAGTTTTTTCCCCAACTGTTTTTCAGCAAGTCCTAGACAGAGTGCGCCGAATGACGCAGGGAGACCTGGTCATGTCCATGGACCAGCTCCTCACCAAACCTCGTCTGGGAACCTGCCACAAGTTCTACATGCAGCCCTTCACACTGGCCAACAGTAAGAAGATCATCCGTGTTCTGTCTTCTTTGTTGGGTCTGGTTAGAGTCGGCACCATTTCTCCAATCCGCTCTCCAATTCTTTCTTATTTCAGATGAGGTGAAGACTCTGATGTTCTTCGAGGGCTGTTCTCCGCACCTGGGATGTTCCATCAAGCTGCGCGGAGCTTCAGAGTACGAGCTGGCCAGGGTGAAGGAGATCATCATGCTCATGGTGTGCGTGGCCTACCACTCCCAGTTAGAGATCTCTTTCCTCATGGACGAGTTCGCCATGCCGCCCAGTTTGGCCCAGAGCGCTTCCTTTCCTTGCCTGCTGGAAGGCGCCTCTACAGAGAAGCAGGAAAGGCAGGACGAGGAGAAGGAGACAAACGGAGACTCTGAGGAATCTGCAGGTCAAAGTGAGGAGGAAGGGCTTTACATGGAGGCGCTGTCCAAAGATGCTGAGCTAGAAAGTCTCTCACCCCCAAAACCCAGATCCTCTTATTCTGGAAACACAGAAATGGTCGTCGCCTCGTCTTCGCCGTTTTCCAGTCCACCTGCACTTCCTCTCGCGGTGTCACCTCCATTTCTGCTGGAAGAGGACCAGGAGATGACGCTTTCAGACACACTCGTCCCACCGTCTGAGGGTGAAACCAGAGAAGAGGGAAGTCTGGTAAAGGAGGACGGGGAGGAGGTGCAGGAGCTCTGCACGGGGGACGACGACGACGGTCCAGACACCCCCACACCGCGACGGTTCAGAGATCCTCTGCAGGACGACACCGGAATGTTCGTGACCGAGCAGGTGGCCTCCTTTGACGACCGTCTAAAATCCATCTCGAGTGTCTTCAAGCAGGAACTGAAGGACATCATCCTGTGCATTTCACCTTTCATCACCTTCAAAGAACCGTTTCTTCTGACCCCAGCAGGGATGCACTGTCCCAGCAGGGACTATTTCCCCGAGCAGGTGTTAAAGCTTTGTGCTCAACGGCAACAGGACACCGAAAAAGTCTCTTCTGCTTCGTTTTGACCGTGGTATTCCATCTCATGTCCTCTGTCTGTCCCACAGGTCTACTTGTCTCCGCTGCTCAACAAAGACCTGAAGGAAATGGATGATCGGCGAAAGCGGCAGCTCCTCAAAGACCCAGCACCGTCCTCCCTGCTCGTTGGTCAATCCAACGGCACCGTCGCTTCCAGACCCGTCGACTTCCTGCCAAATCACAGTCTGACCAGCACTCGGATCATAGAGCAGCTCAGCAGCAGCCACGATCTGGCCAAAATGCTGGCGGATTTCAGAGCAAAGGGTGGACGCATCCGACAGAGGGAAGTTTGTGACCCGTTCTGTGCAACCGGCTCTAACAGCACTGCAGCTGGTGTCAATGGTCACAGCAGGACAACAGAGGCGTCGGTGGTCAAACACCCGGTAAAGGCCGACAGCGAGGAGGAGAAACCAAACAGACTGAATGAAATGACCTGGGCACCGAAGGTCAGCTGCCGAAATCACTTTTTTCATTTTAATTGTTGTTTTTGATTCCGGGCATTTTCTCTGATGTTTTGGTGCTTTCCCATCATCCTTAGCTGGACTGTCTGAACCCTGTCAACCATCAGAGACTCTGCGTACTCTTTAGCAGCTCCTCTTCCGAGTCCAACAACGCACCCAACCCCTGTGTCAGCCCCTGGTAAACCAATAATATCATACCATTTAATAACTAATAATTATATCATCTTTCAAGAAAAGTTTACATTTTTAAACCATTTTAAACCGGCCGACAGGATTGTCACCATGGAGTTCTACGGCAAAAATGACCTGTCTCTGGGGATATTCCTGGAACGATACTGTTTCAGGTGAGAAAAGAAGTTACATTTACATGTTTTACACTCTTTAAAATTCACTAGTTTGAATGAGTTTGTATTTCTCATCTGATCACGATTTCACATTCCTATTTATTTCCAAGACCTTCTTACCAGTGTCCCAGCATGTTCTGTGAAACTCCCATGGTGCACCACATCCGGCGCTTCGTGCACGGCAGCGGTTGCGTGCAGATAGTGTTGAAGGAGCTGGACTCCCCTGTGCCTGGGTATCAACACACCATCCTCAACTACTCCTGGTGCCGCATCTGCAAGCAGGTTAGTGAAGAGCGGAATCACGCGGCTGAAAATGCAACAATAAATGATGTCATTCCACTTGACCTCTCCTCTCCTCTCTAAGGTGACGCCTGTCGTGCCTCTGTCCAACGACTCCTGGTCCATGTCTTTTTCCAAATACCTGGAGCTTCGCTTCTACGGACATCATTACACCAGACGGGCCAACGCTGAGCCCTGCGGACACTCTATGCACAAGGATTACCATCAGTACTTCTCCTACAACCAAATGGTGGCGTCTTTCAGGTCTGTGTACTCGCTATCTAAAAAAAAAAACAACTGTAAAATCGAAACCCACAAGGCAGAGATGAAAAAAAATAACCCAACGTTTCTGGCTTGTTTTGCAGCTACACTTCAGTAAGGCTCTTAGAGATCTGTCTACCTCGCCCGAAGCTCTTCATCAAGAACCTGGGACCTTCCAAAGCCAACCTGCAGCAGGACCTGAAGGACTTCTCTCAAAAGTACAAAGATACATTTTTTTTATATATACATAAATGTCACGTAGACTTCAAACTATTGTTTCCACAGGAGAAATCACACAAAAGATGCAAAACATTAAAAAAAAACTGCCTTGCAGAGTCCCAGACTGTAATTGTGCACACAGGAAGTTGCTACGTTGCAAAACAGGAAGTCACGATAAAGTGGTGGGTGTTGTGCAAACTTGCTAGTGCTCATGTGGGGATTGGTTGAGTTTGTGGGAATACATTGCAACAATCAGCAAAACCTGGACTCACATGAAAAAAAAAAATCAAATCACAAACGAAATACAATGTTTCAAATCAAATTCCAGCCTCTTTAGTTGAACACAACCCTGATCTGGGTTGCTTTTTCTTTTTCTTCATTTTTTTAGCCATCTGCTCCCACCTAGTGGAAAAGTACATTATTGTTCTGCCTGTTACTGTCACAACAATTATAATATTTGGTAGTAATTGAAGTCCCTTATTCGTTCCACAATGGGGAAATCGAGTGTGAGTCTTTGCAACCCGCACAGGCCGAGTGCGAGTCTTTGCAACCCACACAGGCTGCCACAGGAGGCGCCATTTACTATGTGGATCCTCTAGGGCAGGGGTGTCAAACTCCAAATTTCCACCAGGGGGCCACATCAGCAAAACAGTTCCACTTGAAGGGCCGGTTGTAAATGGAAGACTATATAGATCAGGGGTTCCCAACCCCTGGCCCGTGGACCAGTACCAGTCCATAGGTGATTTGGTACTGGGCCGCACTGGGACACAGTGAAGAAATGTACTTAATTGTACTAATTTACATAGGGTGGTACTGGCTGACCAGTCCTCGGAACAAAAAAAGGTTTCAAACTCTGCTTCATGTACTTTATTGAATGCTTTTAAGACTCCCGCGGGCCCCAGAAAATGGCTTGGCGGGCCACATTTGGCCCCCGGGGCTTGAGTTTGACATATAGTAACTCTCCTTTCTCTGAACTCCCCGTTGTCCCCCAGAGTAACACTGGTCTACGCGGCCGTAGACGACCGGCTCACCTCCCTAAAGACTGACACCTTCAGTAAGACCAGAGAGGAAAAGATGGAGGACCTCTTCGCTCAGAAAGACGTAGGCTCTGCTCCATCGCTCCGCTGCTCCAATGCTGATAATGTCCCTCAGCCGATGTCACTGTTTACGTTTGCGTGTTCGCAGATGGAAGAGGCAGAGCTTCGCAGCTGGATTGAAAAGCTTCAGGCGCGGCTGCAGGTCTGTGGCGTGGACTCTCCGCAGCAGCTGCAGGTGGTTCTGGAGTCACTGGTGATGAAGAAACAGGGTCTGTGTGAGACTCTGCAGTCCTGGAACAGCAGGTCCGCATCAAGATTCAACACGGAGTTGTAAATGATCCCCATAAGAGCAAATAGGTGAGACGTGTCTTTCTCCTCTCAGGCTGCAGGATTTGTTTCAGCAGGAAAAAGGCGGGAACCGTCTGCCCGCCCCCCCCAGTCCAGGCAGGCACAGACAGGCTACCACTGACGAAAGCAAGGTCAGTCAACGGGCCATGCCTTAGTTTACTTCACGATGAATCCTCGGGGCTTCCATTTATGTGGATTTCTTTTACAGGGTCCTCTTGATTCCTCCCCCCGTAACCCGTCCCCTGTGGTACAAAACAGTGAAAAAGGTACGTTTTCTGTCTCTGAAAACTGACCGTTAAAATAAAAAAATTTAAAAAAAACCAAAAACTTTTCAATCTTTGCCACAGAGGACCGTCTCCTCAGTGCCATGACCTCGGCCTCCTCTTCCTCCCTGCTACCGTCACCAGGAGAACCCGGAGGAGACCCGTTCACGCCTGGTCCATCGTTTGGCGAGCAGGACTCCGTCAGCATCCCAGAAGGCAGGAGAACCAACCATCTTTGAGTTTAGTTTTTTTTTTTCCTTATTCTTTTATTGCAGATGCTGTGAATGTTTTCTGTTTTGTTTTTTTTTTTGTCTTCAGATGTTTTTGATGGACACCTGCTGGGCTCCACTGACAGTCAGGTGAAGGAAAAGTCCACCATGAAGGCCATCCTTGCTAACTTCCTTCCCGGAAACAGCTACAACCCCATTCCCTTCCCATTGTAAGAGACACTTTCGATTCTCGAAAACATTATAATTTATTTTCTGTTCGGCTGTCTGTGTTAACTATGAGGAAAGTTGAATATTGTTTATCTTGTTTTGACTCATTTTTCTTTATATAATTTCTTCAACACAGAAAAATATTCATTTCATTTCATGTTAAAGTGTCAATATGGTACTGGGTAAAAAATAAAAATACTTATGTTTGTATCATTTTTTTTTAATGATACTGGAAAAAAACCATAAATTTAGAAATATGATGTACCACTTTAATTGTAGTGTCTAAGCCTCCTAAATTTTTTTATTTATGATACTGGAAAAAAATACGCAAATTTAGAAATGTGATGTATCACTTTAATTGTAGTGTCTAAGCCTCCTAAATAACTGGTCTCTTCGGGGGTGTGGTCTGATGTGTGTGTGTATTTGTGACTCGTGTTGACAGTGATCCAGACAAACACTATCTGATGTACGAACACGAGCGAGTTCCCATCGCAGTGTGTGAGAAAGAACCCAGCTCCATCATCGCCTTCGCTCTCAGGTCAGTCTGAGTCTCGGTTTAAATTGTCTCTGTTATAAACAGTATTTAACCAAATGGCAATGACTTAACACATTGGTTTCCATTGCAGCTGTAAGGAATATAAAACGGCTCTAGAAGATCTGTCTAAGCCGTCAAACACAGGAGCAGAAGAAACTCCACAGGTCGTCAGGTAAGAAATAAAATGTTTCTCTGATAATGTAAGTATTGGGTGTTTTCCTCATTGGTGGTTTATTTAAGTACATCAACACTGTCAACAGTTTGGAGGAATTTTAACATCAGGGGCAGAGACAGGAGCTGTAGGACTGGTTGAAACTCATTTAACCGACATGGTGTTCATTCGCCAATCGAAACATGGAATAGTGCAGTTTAAGACACTGACACTTTGTTTGCTTTGCCACCAGGAGACAGTGTTTTCAATTAAAAGGCATTGTTGGATTAAAGCTCTGCTCACTTTCTGTTCAGCTCGCTGGCTATAATAATTATCGTTTATCCTTTAAAGCATTTTTTAACGAGCAAATTGTTAACTAAATAATAATTTGTCTAATTCAAACCCAAAAGACACTTTTCACAGAAACACATTTTTGTTTTTGATTTCTCCTCACCAGTTCCGAGAGTCGAGCCAAGAGCAGTCCCGCCAGGCCAACCGAGTCCATCCAGAGCCGCAGCAGCGTCGACACTGATCCACTCAGTGAGTTTGCCCTCCGTTCTACAGTCGGACCTTTGGCTGATCACAGGATACAACCAACAGATGATTTCAATCTTTTTTGTGATGATTTTCAGAAGATACAGACCTGACGGACAAGCAGAAGAAACAGACTATGAATCCACACATTGAACTGCGTGAGTCTTTCCACTGCTTTCTTACTTAGATTTTTACATGATACACTTTTAGTCTAATTTATATAAGATTAATTTAATTTCAGGTAAAATATGATCTGCCAACTTTATTAGTTTCCCTCAGTTTGTTCTGTAAAAAACACCTAAATTATTTCTTACTTTAATTTCAGGTAAAATATGATCTGCCTTATTCTTTTTTCCCATATCTGTAACAATTAATGTGTCTAATTGTCTCAGTTTGAAAAAAAAAATGCAACAGTAATGAAATAAGCAAGTCTTAAAAGCTAAAAAAAAAATCCAGAAATAATAACACTAATTTAAAAAGGTAATTGAATTATTTTATAAAATGTCAAAGGTTACATTTTAAGGCTCAAATATATAAATTTAACTACAGAAAAAATGTATCTTACAACTAAGATTTTTTCCACTTGCCTTTCCATTTGTGCAGAATTCTCCGATGCTAATGCTAAGTTCTACTGCCGGATATACTACGCAGAGGAATTCCACAAGATGCGTGAGGAGATCATGGAGAGCAGTGAGGAAGATTTTGTCCGTTCGCTGTCTCACTGCGTCAACTGGCAGGCCAGAGGCGGGAAATCTGGAGCAGTCTTCTACGCCACAGAAGGTCTCCGTCCTGAACATCAGGCTCTGAGCTGCTGTATCCGAACCATAGAAGTTTAAATTGAACGTCAAATGATCTGTTTTTTTTTCTGTGCCCCGCGTCAGATCATCGCTTCATCCTGAAGCAGATGCCCAGACTGGAGGTCCAGTCCTTCCTGGACTTTGCTCCCAACTACTTCACCTACATCACTGGAGCTGTGCAGCAGAAGGTACATGCCAATGAATCATGATGTCCTGAGAAAAAGAGTTTCCGGACATGAGTCACAGTTTTTAGAAATAACCACCTTTTCGCACCACAGCGTCCGACGGCTCTGGCTAAGATCTTGGGCGTTTACCGCATCGGTTACAAGAACTCTCAAAACAACACTGAGAAAAAACTGGACTTACTGGTGATGGAGAATCTCTTCTATGGACGTAAGATGGCTCAGGTCAGACTGCTTTTTTTTTTATTTTATTTTTTTTTATAAAAAAACATGTTAACTATGGCTTCTAGAACATGGTAGCATTAAAAAAAGTTTGCTCCTCTACAGGTTTTTGACCTGAAGGGGTCGCTAAGGAACCGCAACGTGAAGACCGACTCAGGGAAGGAGAGCTGTGAGGTGGTTCTTCTGGACGAGAACCTCCTGAAGCTGATCCACGACAACCCTCTGTACATCCGCTCACACTGTAAAGCCATTCTGAGAGCAGCCATCCACAGCGACGCCTACTTCTTGTCCAGTCACCTAATCATCGACTACTCCCTGCTGGTAGGGCGGGACGACGCCACCAATCAGCTAGTGGTGGGGATCATAGGTGAGGAGATATTTCTGTTATCAGCGCCATCTACTGTTAGAATTCTTCTTCTCGTTCTTCCAGCTGCTCCATTCAGGGGACTCCACCGCTGATCAACCGCCTCCATCTCCATGTTCTCAAATCTCCTCTGGTGTTCTCCTCTTCCCTTTCCCTGGCAACTCCATCTCTGGATAATAATTAGAAATAACAGAAAGACATTCATTCCATTTTCCCCTCATCTGTGCAGATTACATAAGGACATTTACGTGGGACAAAAGACTGGAGATGGTCGTAAAATCCACTGGAATTCTGGGAGGTCAAGGTAAAACATTCCTTCCTGTTTGTTTGTAAATTGTCAAAAAATGAGTTTTTTAGGTTTTCTTTAAAGCAGTGTTTATACCTGCAGACTGCTGCCATTTTTGTCTTGTTTTTAAATTTGATGGAATAATGATGACTGGGAAAAGGAAAATCTCATTCAGGATGGTGAAACTTTTATCTCTTGCAGAGACTATTTCCAGCATCAGCAGAGTCCTGTCTTTGTTGTTGGCTAAGACTAAGACTCATTTTGGATTATAAATGTATCTTTGGACAGGATTTTAGCTTTTGCTATTGTTTAAGCAGGTTAAAAATTAATGTTTTGGATTATAAATGTTTTATAAACAAAAATGTTTATCTTTGGACAGGATTTTAGCTTTTACTATTGTTTAAGCAGGTTAAAAATTAATTTGTCTTTGTTTTACTCCCCTCCCACCCAGGAAAAATGCCCACGGTGGTGTCTCCAGAACTGTACCGAGCTCGATTCTGCGAGGCCATGGACAAGTACTTTCTGATGGTTCCTGATCACTGGACCGGCCTGGGAGTCAACTGTTGATCTCCAGGAAGTCCAAGTGAAGAGACTCCAACCCACACACACCCACCCTCAGACTGTGTGTGTGTGTGTTGAGGCTCAAGACCGCATCATTTCAACCACTGACCGTGAAGCACATGGACTGAACTGGACTGTAGATATGACTGAAGTTCAGACTGAAGCACAGAATCATTCCACAGACACAGAGGCTTCTCTGCAGAAACCACTACAGCTGGTTAATGGTATTAGAAATTACGGCAAACCAGATTTAAAATCCTTTTTTTATTATCAGCAGGGACCTTTTCTCTAATCAACAGATTAGTAATTTATCTCCTGTTTTTTTTATGTTGTTAATAATATCATTTATATTATTAGAGTCCAACTGTTTCAAAAATATGAAGAGTCACATGATTATGTTTTAAGGCAAACAGATGGATGTAAATTAAAGTTTGTAAATGTACAGAGATGATGTAACTAAATAAATATTATTGACAAAGATTTAAAAGATTTGACTGCAGTTTTGTCAAAACAATTCATCTATTCAGTAAATATGAAAATACTAATTTTTTTTAAGTTTCGGTATGAAACTGTTGACCCGCTTACAAATGCACTATTACCGGGCATATTTTGACCGCACTTTTGACAGTAAACGCAGTGCAGTGCGTTACGTCTTGGGACCCGTGTTTTATCAATTTGTATGGTTTGTGTACTGCGCATGCGTACAAAGAAAACTCTTCCCCAATTATCCCCGCCCATAAAATCAGTATACACCTGGAAAAAAATATTTTTCATGAAAAACTTTTACCTTTCATTAATTTTAACAGTGAATTCGGCAAATAGTGTATATGTAAAGTTCTAGAATGCAGTTAATCTATGACAGCGCGTGTTTTCACTTAAAATAAATGTTATCGCCGAAGGACCGGGGCTTAGCCACTTACCAGAGCTTCGTGACTTGGCTGGGTGGATTCTTAGCAGCGGGGATGGATGGAAAGACGGTAGCAGGGCTGGTTGTGGGCTTAGTTTTCCCAGTAAAAAAACAAATTGTTCTAACTCTCTTAATTTCTCTAGTTTTGTTACGCACGACTTTGTTCCCGTTTCAGCTACGCTGACGCTAAACACACTCAACTGAACAGGAGCACAGCCAATCAGAGATAAAGACCCGCCCATGCCCTGTCTCTTATTGGTTTAAACCATGATATGAGTCTATCATGAGTGTCAGATGGGCAGCGTCAGGTGCACCAGTGCGACCTAGATTAATTAGTAGTCGAACTGTTAACGTAGCAACATCTGGAGTTATTGCACTTTCCGGTTGTTTTTTTTTTGTAGAAGAAAAACTTCAATGTCTGTGACTTCAAACCATTTTATTATTATCTTACATTTCTGTAAAACAACGTGAAGCTGAATTATGTGTGTGTACGTTCTACTGCATCGCTAACTGATGCATAATTCATCAGCCAATGTCACGATTGTCAGGACTTGAAAAACCCCATGGTTTATGCGTTTCAATTCACAACAGTAATCAATTAATAGTTAATCAATAACAGTCAATATCATCAAAGAGAAACACGTGTCGTAAATGGTGCGTCTTCATCAGTTCTGAGACACCAGGTCGAAATATTCTTAACTGTGGGTTTAGTTCAAGTTTATTAAAATTGAAAAACATTTCATGTCCTAACAATGTTCAATGTGGAAAAAATACACAAAGTACACAAGTACCTCAGCTTTTCTTACACACACACACACATACACACACACATACATGGATAAGGCTCGTTAATATTTTTTCATTCTTGACAATTTTCAAAAGCACTAAGAAATTTTTTTTTCTCTGATAAAAATATTTAAAATTCTAAAAAAAAAAAGCCAGGGTCACATGGTTTACACCTGTCAACGTCAAGTCTTTTAGATCTTAGACGTATTATTAATATTGGTTATTTTTAAAGGACATTAGAGGACAAAGGATCAGATTCATAAACATACCTGTGTCCAAATTCCACAAACACTGGAGATTCAAAAGGACGCTGTTCACTAAACATACGACAGGAGAGTAAAAAATATTTTAAAAACTAAGTCATTTCAATGTGACACACGTTTGGTTTTGTTTGTCAAGGTTTTCCAGAATTGAAATCCAGTTGTTACGCTGCAGAGACCAAGTTTGATTAACTGTCAGTAAAAAAAAAAAAGAACTACGGCACAGTCCTGCCAGAGCCGGGATTCAAACTAGCATCCTTCCAATTACAAGCCATTTCCACCGATAGGGCCGCACCAATTACGACACAAAAAAAATCAGCATCTGTAAATCTTAGAAAATACCTGAATTTTTTTAAAATTACAATAACCCTGATTTCCATTTAGTTTTTTCTATTTTATTTGTGCTTTCTTTTCTTCTCTATTACTCTGTATTTCAGGACAAAAACATGAGTGAAAACCTGGACAAATAACCTCTGCTGTGTCACCACCGACTCGTACTCCGGTATTTTTAGTGAACGGCTTCCTAAACACGATCAGAATAATACAGCAGGATTTTTTTCCACCCGAAAGTATTTGGTATAAAAGAAACAGAGAACCAAACAGTGAACAACATCAAGGCACTGGACACTGGAGACGATGGCACATAGCTGTAGGAGGAGGAGCAGGAGCAGGAGGTCAATGCCGTGGCTTTACTTCATAGACCGTTAATAAGGGACAGACGCAGCCTTCTGGTTTCAAAAGTGAAAACCAAAAAAATACTGTTAGCCACCTGGTTGAGAGTAAAGATACGTTTTTAATAAAAGCAAATTGGAAATTTCGTTTTTCTAAAAGTAGGGACACCAGGGAGTATCACGTTTGATTGATAGATGTTGAAATGTCAAAATAAAAACAGCTTGGGAACCAGACCACCTAACGGAACCAAAAGTCAATTTCTTTATACAGTCTATGTTCTCTTTACATTTAATTGCTGGCAGTATTTGTACCATCCTTTAAAATATCAACATCATCATTAATATGGCACGACTTTGATCTGAGTGAAGACTGTACTCCATTAGACAGATGAATCCCGGTGGGAGTTTGTCCCCCTGGTCTACGACATGTGCAAAACTGCACAACAACAAATGGGCAAAGACGGAGCCAGAACAGGGCAGGAGGCTACACTGGACCACAGGGTTAAATACATAAACCTGAGGCTGTTATCTTGTCTGCTCTGCAGGAAGTTGCTTTTAATCAGTGAGGGGAACGTCTCAGTTCCTCCGTTTTTTACACTTCTCAGAAGATTTGCATCCATGTAGCTCGTAGGACGGCGTGAGTAGTTCCACAAAGGCAAGGTGAAACATTTGAACTGTTGCATGTGGACCCTGCGTTGAACGCTGATTGTTCCCAGTACCATTTCTATGCTCAGTTTCAGGAGGGCAGTGTCGGGGTCCGCCTAAAAGTGACACCCATCGCTAACGATAAAACTGTTGCACTCTCAGGAGGGACAGATTTCCGGGACGTTTAAACGTCACTGTGCTTCGGGGAACTCGACGTGACTTCAGAGTCAAAACTTGTGCTTGAGGTGTCAAGTGTTTGAAAAAGTGACCTCTGCTGTGGAAGTCCGATGTTTGTGAAAAACATAAATCAGAGAAGAAAAAATAAAAACAAAAAAACAATTATGCTCTTCTTTCCGCATGTTCAACTTCACTCGGAACAAACAGTTAAAAATGGCTTTTTTTTTCTCTTTCTTTTCTAAGACTATTGAAATCTCTGAGCAGATCTGCAAACCAACACCACAGCTGTCACTTTCAATCCAAACGTTCAAGTTTAACTTTAAATCCAAAGAAGCTCCAGGGACTATAACAAAACCCAGGCACCAGAAAATGATTTCTTGGTCGTCTGTTCTAGAGAAACTAAAATACACCACCTTTGACTTTAGTGGAGCTTTAATGCCTCTACACCTGGGCAAGGCAGCACCAGTGTTTAAACTGCAGCGCCCTACACTCAATTTGGCACACTCTGCTTCAGCAGACACTTTCATTAAAGTGCAAACAGCTGAAAACAAAACTTAACTTTAGTACAAATGTCTTTGAAGACCAGACTTGTCAAGTGGAAGGTGGCGTGTGGAAAAAAAAAAAAAAATATCTTCGAAGATCAGACTTATCAAGTGGAAGGTGGCGTGTGGAAAACAAGTGACAACTCAATGAGTACCGAGGTTGGTTTTTGATTGAAGCACCGGGGAGCAGAAAGAACAAACCTTGTGCTTTTACTTTTGAACAAACATGCAGATCCCAGAACTGGTCTGGATCCAAGTCTATGGAAGTTTCAACTTGTTCAGCTTCAGGAGTTGGTCTGAGGTTTGACTGCAGTTTGACTTTCGCAAAAACAATTTAAAAATTAAAATGCTGCATCGTATTCAAGGAAGAAGTTTCTCTGTTTTAAATAACGTCACGTTCAGGTGAGCAGTGGGAGGTAGAAGAGCAGAGAGTCACTTCAGAGTCGTCAGAAAGTTTCAGAGTCCTCCGAGTCGTTCTCTGTCGTTCCCTCACTGGAGGGTCCAGATCGGTTTCTGGGGCTTCGAGGCACCCGAGGGCCAACGCCTGGGCCTTTCCCACCCGGGTGGGGCAGTTGTCTCAGCAGGGAGCCTGGGGAGGGCGCCCCTGAGCTGCAAGGGGAGCAGAAAGGCATCATGGTAGCCAGAATGAGAGCCAGACAGTCAGCCACCTCTCTGCTAGGAGCACAAGCCAGAGCAGGCGTCAGACCTGAGGCAAAGAGACACAGAGAGAGGGAGACAGAGAGACAGAGAGAGAGAGAGAAGGAAGGACATGGAGGAAGCCGGGAGGAGGCAAAGCAGGAACAGCGGGAGACAAAGGGAGGGACGGAGCAGCATTCCATTAGTTTTCAGCCAGCTGACAGAGAGGAAGTGCGGGACAACGCATGCTACGACTGTTGGTGACATCATCAGTGCGGCAGAAACGACAACATTTAAATTAAAGTCCAACTGTAATTATAATTTCTCACAGAGAAACTTACCAATATAATGCAAACATTTAGTATTTTTGTCTAAAAAAAATGTTTTTTAATATACGTTCTAGTTGGACTTTAAATTCTCTGATACATAAGACAAACCAGCACACGCAGCATAAATTTATCTCAAATAACAACCATAAACTTGAGAAAATTATAAAACATATGTTTTATAATTTTTCACACCTAAATTAAATAAAAGCTCAAACACTTAAAGACAGTAAATTACAAATGAGACAATATCAGACTCATCTCCTTCTCACTAAATAAATCCATTGTTATCCAGGGTAAATTAGCTAAGCTAACCGCTATTTCGTTGTACCGCCGTGGAACAATGACAATAAAGACTATTCTATTCTAACAACGGCATTAAAAAACAATTAAACTAAACTTTTAATAAAATAGAAATGAAAAATAACGACGCTGGATACAGATAAAAACCACGCTAATCTACCAAAATGCTCATGCCGAAGTGCAGGCGAACATTTAAAGCTCGGCATGGACGGGTTGAGCAGCCAGACCAGACCAGACCAAACCAGATTAACCCTACCGTTCTCATCTACGGTCTGAACGTTGGCGCCTCTGGACAGAAGCTCCTGTACCGCCTTCTTCAGGCCACTACGGGCTGCCAGGTGCAGTGGACTGAAAAAAGAAAAGGCTCTCGTTCCACTGAAACAGTTTCACGTTTTTAAGCGAAGCCCAAGACCAAACAAAAACGTCACTCACGTCTGCAGCGCTGCGTTGGTTGCGTTGATGAGCGTCATGTCGGACAGTTTCTCCAGGATCAATAACACACAGTCTTCCTTTCCCTGAAGGAGAGGAAACGGAGGAGATTGGTTTAAGTAATTTCACGAGAAAACAGCATCTGTTAGTAATAACTGTCCGATAAATTTAACCTGTAACTAATGTGTTTGATGTGCCACTAGGGGTCATCAGGTGTGCTGTGAAAAATTACCAATTATCACCGAATTGGTCTAAAAACTATTATTTATTTAGACCAATTATCACCGAATTGGTCTGAGAACTATTATTTATTTAATGCACTGAATTTGTCTTTGTGTCTATGTGGCATTGACTGACAGAAAAATTAAATACTTTTTTTTGAATTACCACAAACTTCTTAAAGTGACCTTCCCCTTTCTGAAACCACAAAAGTCCACAAAACACCCCCTTGTGGTCACTTACTTTACTGCAAGGCAGATGCAGAGCTGTGTTGCCCTCTTTGTCCGTCAGGCTCAGGTTTGCGTTGCCCAACAGCACCTCTGAACGGAAAAAAAAATCACATGTGGATCTGTACACAAACATACCACAGAAGCACAAAGTACTTAAGCCAAGATGTACCCAGAACTCCCACTCGGCCCTTCTCTGCAGCCATCATCAGCGGCGTGCGACCTGATTGGTCGGCATCATCCACGGCCGCGTCGTGTGACAGAAGAAGCTGGACGCAGTCCACGTGACCCGCGAAGGCTGCAGCATGAAGAGGAGTTCTGTGGGAGACGACACTCGGGTTTGTCTGACAGCTTTGGTTTCCGTGTCTTACAGTGAGCTCATAGTAAACGAACGTCACCCGATCCCCCTGTTGTGCCTCACCTGCCCTTGGCGTCCTTACAGCCTGCAATGTCTGAGCCCATGGCCTCCAGCAGCAGGGACGCACAGGCCTCGTGATCGTTCACCCTGTCAGACAGCAGTAATCGATTTCAGAGAGTGGATGTCGGGAAACGTTGAAACAGGTACGGTATAAACATTGGTATGTGCGTCTTACACGGCGCAGTGCAGAGGAGTGAAGGGGTTTCCATCGATACAGCGACAGCCTTTCTGCTCCAGCAGGACCTCTACACACCCTTCCTGACCTGCACGCACACACACACACAAAATGAGCAGAGGAAGTGACATCAGCAGGACTAGCTTCACATGTACAACATGTTTTTAAATGAATAATTCCGTCAGAACATCCTCACTGACCGTAGTAACAGGCCCAGTGCAGCGGTGTGTATCCGCCGTTGTCCCTCAGGGGCGGCAGTGACGACGGCTCAGAGCAGGCGATGCTCAGCAGTTCGCTCAGCCAGGAGGCGTGGCCTCGGGCCGCGGCCAGGTGGATGGCGGTTCGACCCCGGGAGTCTCCGAGCAGAACAGAGGCTTCCTGTTCCAGCAGACACTGGACACACTCTTCCTGACCACACAGCAGCTGCACAGAGGAGAGGTGGAGTTTGGAGGATTCGTTCATTAAAGCATACGTTTTAGTGTGTTTTTAGGAACCTTTTATAGCTGCAAACGCAACTTGGTAAAATAGTTTCTTCTTCTGTTAGGCAGCAGCACTGACTATGTGTGTCCTGCAAGTTTGTGTATCTGAGGTAAATCCACACGTAGTATTGTAAACAGAGAAAAATCTCGAGCAAAGTAGGCGGTCAACTACCGCCATTTTTTGATGCTGTGAAAAAAAAAAATAGCTGATTTTGTCTATCATTTTTGGTACTGTTCAGTTATGTACATAAAATACTTTCTCAAAGACGGTCCGCTGTCACTGCTAGTAGCTAGCAGGCTGTGCACACAGAAACCTACATACATCATTTAATGACACTATAAATATACTTTGACTTTCAGGGAGATTAGCATCTACTGCTATAAGGTTTCTGAAGACTTTTTAATACTTTTAATAAAATCTTACCCCCAAGTTTCTGAAGACTTTTTATATATTTTTATATAATACTTTTAATAAAATCTTACCCCCAGGTGCAGCGCAGTGAGGCCATGGTTATCGGCGAAGTTAACATTAGCATCCCTCTCCAGCAGCAGTGACACGGCATCTACATGTCCTCCTGCCACCGCCAGCATCAGTGGGGTTCTAAAGATAAGGTGCATGCATGGGTTTGTGTACATGTAATGAAAAGAAAGTTGTAAAGAAAAAAAAAAAAAATCATATATAAAGAACTCACTGGCCCTGAGAGTCCGCAGCATCTACAAGCTCCACTCCGTCCGATTCATCCAGCAGGAGGCGAGCACACGTCGTATGGCCATTCATCACTGCTGACAAGAGGAAGAAAGGAAAGAAAGTGTGACGAACAATTGGATGAAATGATTCAAACTTTCAGAGTCTGATCTCACCTGCCAAGTGGGCCGGCGTTCGACAGTACTGTTTGTCAGCGGTGTGCGGCGAAGCCCCTTGGCTGAGGAGCGTGTGAACACAGTCGCTGTGGCCCCGCAGTGCGGCGAGGGCCAACGGAGTCCTGCCCACGTCGTCTCCCTGGTCCACGTGCCTCTGCCCCTGTCCCTGCAGCAGGACCTCCAGAGCCTGAGCATGGCCGTGATAAGCCTGCAGAGGGCGACAAATCCAAATGAGGTTTTTCAGAAGCTGCAGCAGAGGAACTTGGATTTTCCCTTTGTGTCAAAATAACATTTTAATGAAACCATCACTCTTTCACTAAATAACATTTAATAATAAATTTAATAAAATTTTAAATAAAATTTGTTTTATTTAATAATAATGTATCGTTATTATTATTATTGTTGTTATTATTATTTTTTTTTATTTAATAATGTATCGTTATTATTATCATTATTGTTGTTGTTGTTATTATTATTATTTTATAATAATAATTTTAAAATGTAATAATAAAAGTAATACAATTTAAATAAAATTTTAAGTATTTGACTAAAAACTCACAGCTAGATGCAGCGGACTTTTGGCATTCACAGACTCTGGGTTATCACTGTGGCTGTCGTCTCTGTCCAACAGCTGAGGGTCATGAAAAAAATGCATTGATTTCGAAGCAAATGACAGAAAAAAAAGACAAGGAAAATTCAGTATCGTCTCTATACTTTAAACAAAAATTGTAATTTGAAAGAATTTTCAGAGATTTCAGGGACGCAAACTGACCAGCTCCAGGCAGTGCCTGTGTCCGTAGGCGGCGGCGTAATGGACCGGACTGTAACCTTGTTTGTCTCTGAGCGTAAAGGCCGCTCCGCTCTGCAGCAGAAACTCCAAACATCTGCGACACAAACGCGGCGAGATCGATGTCAGATGTTAGTAAAACCGTGCGTCACGACTAACATTGGAGAAGTCGTCCAACAATTGTAGATGCAATTAGGCAGAGAGAAACCGCAGAACCTTCAGATGCCATTGGAACGTCCTGTGCAGAACTATACACCTCTAGCTGGGTGAAACGTCCAGCTAATCTTAAAACACTTGGACCTGGAAGAATTAGACTTTCAGGGCCCAATAGTAATAATTTATCCAGTGAGATCAGGAGGTTCTGATGTGATTTTTTTTCTCTCTCATGTGTGAGACTTATTTGTGTTGGACTCACAGCCCCGCCTCCTTTTCCCTTTCAGCCTGGACTCCTTCAAGCTCTGGCTCCAGAGCAACACGACGCCTGCAAGAGGTGAGGAGAAAAGGTTGGAGATTCAGGGCGACACAACAGAGAGGTGAAAGATGAGTTATAAAAAAAAATCACCCAATATATTTATCAGGAGAACTAAGGGTTAACGTGAAGTCTAAAGATGCGGAAGAACAACTGCTGCAGCGGCTGCAGTGAGGAGTGACTCACCAGTTTTCTATATTTAGGACCAGGAATCTAGGGTGCAGTGTTCCCGAGTCAAATACTCCAATAATTTTTTGTTTTGTTTTGGAAGTGTAAATGTCATACTCGACACGTTCATTTCCGTAGCTTTCCCATTACTTTACCTTCTGTCCAGGTCTGAGGCAGCAGCGTAGTGTAGCGCCGAGCGCCCCCACTGGTCAGTAGAATTGATAGCGGTGCCACAGGCGACGAGGGTCTCCAGACACTGATAGTGGCGACTCGCTGCTGCGTAGTGGAGCGGAGTCCTGGAGTAAAAACCAATCATCAAAACCCTGATGTTGTTGTTTCCTGTGACCACGTGAAATGAAATGTTGTCTCTCTCTCTCTCTCTCTCACCTGCCACAGTTGTCTCTCCTGTTGTGATCTCCTCCACTGCTGAGGAGCAACTTCACGCACTCCACGTTGCTGTGCCGCAGGAAAACAAAAACGCACCGTTAGCCATTAGCATTCTCTAATCCGAATCCTCTCATTTTGGACTGCGCAAAGTACGGTAATCTGGAGTACACACAGGCAGATTAGAGGTCAAATCTAATCTTTTTATCTTGCTGTAAGGAAGGGGTTCTCAAAGTGAGGAATGGGGCCCCCTAGGGGGCACCGAGCTATTTGAGACAGGGTATTTTTTTAGACATACAGTTGTCCCTCGATATTTCGGTTTTTGAAAACTGTATATATAAAATATACCGTATCCTGGATTTGGATCTGCAAGAGATATGGTTCGATCGGTCCAATTTTGCAACAAAATTGACGACGTCGATACAACTAGCTACTCTTCGACTGGAAAAAGAAATACGACTAGCTACTCTTCGACTGGAAAAAGAAGCAGCGGAAGCAACTGCCAATCACGCAAAATGTTTTTGAGGCCTCGCAAAAAAGAGCCGGTTTCTGCTACTACTACGGATACACCTTCGGAAACCGTGGAAGAGGTAACCCAAGAAATGGCGCCACCCTCTGGAGAGACGTAAAATCAATCATCGGCTGCGCAGTCAAAGTCGTCAATACCTTGCTCGTCATTATTTTACTGCGCATAAATATGGTGTCACTACTTCGCGGAAGTAGTGACACTGTAATTGGAATTACAGTGTACAATGAAATTCAGTGGCGTTTTATCACGACGTGAATTTGTCGACATCAGACTTCACAATAGACTCATCTGCAAAATAGTTTGGAAACCACTGGTGTAAGGCAAGAGTATTTACCGCTACTCCACTGTCACCTGTCTAGTAATTATATGCATTTGTCATGAAACATGACTATAATGACAGGTAAAACGTATAGAAATATAACACGTAGGTGGTTCGTACCCTCCAGCAGCAGCAGCGTGAAGACAGGTTCTCCCCAAACTGTCGGCCGTGTCGATCTGAAATCCTGCAGACAGGACCGAGTCAACACACATCATAAACCTACGACCTGATGGCGGGGGAGGGGGGGGAGGGACAGGACAGCACAGGGAGACGGGGAGGGCACAGGGAAGTGCAGGGGCCAGGGCCGGTACCACAGGGACACAGGGGG